GTCATAGAGAAAAGGAGGAGAGGGAAAAGAAGGTACAGTACTTTTTAAAAAGGTCTCTGTCTGCTCTATGGAGAACACACTAGAGGGGGGAAAGAATACAGCAGAGAAACCAGTTAGAAGGTATTTGCTTAGGTAAGAAATGATGGTGATATGAACTGGGATAGTATCGGTGATAAGGTGAAAAATGGTCAGATTCTAAAGGCAGAATGGACAGGACTGGCTGATGGATTGGATGTAGAGTATGAGAGAAAATGATGGGTCAATGATATTCCTGGGCTTTTGGCCTAAGTGACTGGTGCCACTTACCTAGTTAGGGAAGGTAAGAGGTGGATGCAGGGTGTGAAGGAATCAGAAGCTTAGTTTTGGACATCTGAAGTCTGAAAATGACTATTAGGCAATACAGATGTTAAATTGATGATATAGTTTGGATCTGTGCCCACACTAAACTCATGTTGAATTGCAATCTCCAGTGTTGGAGGTGGAGTCTGGTGGAAGGTGCTTGGACCATGGGGGTGGATTTCTCATGCATAGTTTACTACCATCTCCTTGCTACTATCCTCATGATAGGGAGTGAGTTCTTGAGAGAGCTAGCTATTTAAAGGTGTGTGGCCCCTCTCCTCTCTTTCTCTTATTCCTGCTTTGGCCATGAGATGTGTCTGCTCCCCTTTCACCTTCTGCCATGACTGTAAGTTTCTTGAGGCTTCCTCAGAAGCTGAGCAGATGCCAGCATCATGCTTCCTATGCAGCCTGCAAAGCTATGAGCTAAACTTATTTTTTTTCTATGTTAGCCAGTCTTGGGTATTTCTTTATAGCAATGTGAGAACAGCCTAAACAGCCTAACGCAATTTGATATTCAAGGTCAAAGCTCAAGGAAACTGAGAGCTGGAGATATAAATTCAGGGCTTCTTAGTACTTAGATAATTTTTAAAGGATTGGTTGATTTCACTGAAAGAGTGAGTATATATGGAGAGAACATGTCAAAGGACATCTAATTTTAGAGTTCAGAGAAAGGAGGGATAGGATCCAGTAAAGGAGAACGAGGAGGAAAATCTGAAGTGGACTATCAGACACCCAGAGAAGAGAATGATTTAAGAAGAGTGAGTGAGACAATGCTGCTGATGGGTCAAGATGAGAGCATTAGTTTTGGGAATGTGGGGGATCTTAAAGGCAAATGTGAGATACCCTCTAAATACAGCAAGCCAGGAGAACTACAGAAGTACAGAAGTGGCCTGCCTGTGCCACTCTGGCAAAAAAAAAAAAGTAGGGAAGAGAGGAGAGAGAAGAGGAGGCTAGGGAAGAGAGAAGAAGGGCCATTTGGAGCTGCAGTTTGCAGCTCCTTACACTCCACCAGCTACTCTATCTGAAGGCTGGACACCTCAATGCTGGGGCTTGATTTCCCCACATGGCTTGAGCTTCTCTGACAGTCGTGATGTTGTTTAGAGGTGCAGAAACCACTTCACCCATTGCTCTGAGAGAGCCACATTCTATTCTTCAGGAAGCATGCTTACACCACCAACCTAGTTTTTAAAAAATCTTCCAGAGGCTCTTTTTTTTTTTAACAGGTAAAAACAATGGAGCCACCTATGCAATAGTGATCAGCTACTTTTTGGGAATTCCTATATACTTTCCTTGTTGAATTTTTGTGACTTTTCCAGAAAGAACTTTGAGAACATATAGTAATACAAAGTGAGAAGTAAATGTCATTTTGTGAGTGACTTTCTCAACAAATTCTCTAAGATTAATGTAGATATCCTGAGGTACCTCACAGATGGGATAGGGAATCGGTGCCCCAGAGATCCAGAATCCTTCTTTTCTAGGCTGGTTGTATAGAGCCCTTTGTCTGTGTTGTTGCAGAGCCATTTGTAGCCATCCCCAGCAGTGTCATCACCCAGAATAAACCAGGGGGAGCATTTTACCCATATAGTACCCTAAATCTCCCCAGCAAATATAGCTATAAAAAGTTCTAAGGCCAGATGCAGTGGCTCATGCCTGTAATCCTAGCACTTTTGGAGGCTGTGGGAAGAGTATCACTTGAGTCCAAGAGTTCAAGATCTGCCTGGGCAATGTAGTCAGACCCTATCTCTACAAAAAAATTTAAAAATTAGCCAGGTGTGGTGGTATGCACCTGTAGTCCCTGCTAATCTGGAGGCAGAGGTGGGAGGACTGTTTGAGCCCAGGTGGTCAAGGCTACAGGGGAGCGATGATCATACCACTGCACTCCAGCCTGGGTGACAGAGCAAAACCCCATCTCTTTAAAAAGAATGAAGAGAAAGAGAGAAAGAGAAGAAGGATGGAAGGAAGAAAAGGAAGGAAGGAAGTTAGTTCTCAAGACAACCCTTTTCAACAGAGCACTACCCTAAGTGCATGTGTTCTGAGCTAAATTATGTCTTTCCCTCAAAATTCGTATGTTGAAGCCACAACCTCCAGTACCTCGGAATGTGACTTTACATAGAGACAGGGCCTTCAAGAAATAATTAAGGTTGGCCAGGCACAGTGGCTCATGCCTGTAATCCCAGCACTTTGAGAGGCTGAGGTGGGCAGATCATGAGGTCAAGAGATCGAGACCATCCTGGCCAACATGGTGAAACCCCCTCTACTAAAAATACAAAAATTAGCTGGCCGTGGTGATGGGCACCTGTAGTTCCAGCTACTCAGGAGGCTGAGGCATGAGAATCACTTAAACCCAGGAGGCAGAGTTGCAGTGAGTCAAGGTCACCGTGAGCTGAGATCAGGCCACTGCACTCCAGCCTGGCAACAGAGTGAGATTCCATTAAAAAAAAAAAAAGAAGAAATAATTAAGGTTAAATAAGATCAGAAGAGTGGCCCTATTCTAATATGGCTGGTATCTTTATAAGGAGAGAGACAACAGGAATGCAGGCACACAGAAGAAAGACCATATGAGCACATAATAAAAAGGTAGTTATCTTCAAGCCGAGGAGAAGGGCTTCAGGAGAAACCAGACCTGCTGACATCTTGACCTTAGACTTCTAGACTCCAGGCCTATGAAAATGAAATGTCTATTGTTTAAACTACCCAGACTGTGGTGGTATGCGCCTGTAGTCCCTGCTAATCTGGAGGCAGCCCTTGCAAATAAATACAACCTCCCATAAGGAAGTGATTATGTGCCATTGCTGCCCCTGCATTTGTGACAAATACAAGTTGGCAGCTCCTGCTCACAGCTCCTGACAAACATGGAAACCAGATACATGCCCCACCTTCCATTGGGTAGCATATCTTTTCCCAAAAATTCTTAGACAAGTCAGGTGCAGTGATTATAATAAGGGAAAGACACTATCTCTAGAAAGGACTGGGGATCCAGACTTTGAGCAAATCTCATTGCTTTCTCCAAAATAGATATTCTTTTTATGCAGGTGAAATTACATTAAAGTTAATATCAGTCTTCAGCCTTCATTAGGAGAAAATTGAATTAGGAGAATTCAGTCTCGAAGGAGAAAACCCAAAAAGAATAATATGGCAGATATTTGTGGAAAGAAACCTTTTTTTTTGCTACTGATTATGATATTTGCTCTCAAGTGTTGTATCTAGAACAAATAACTTGTGGACTATTAGTCTGGCTGTTTTCTATAGGCCCCTTCTGTGATTTTTCAGCCCTAGTTCCTAACCTGAGCTATCTCCATACCTACTTCTCTGTCTCACTGACTTTGACGAACCTGTTGTCTCCCATTACTTAGAGGTACTTTATTCATCTGAAGGGCCTAGGAAAGGGAGGTAAGTTTAACTTCAATCCAATCGCACCTAATTTACAAGGTCTTGAAATAAAGGGCTTATGAAGGTGATTGAACTAGAAACTGAAGAAAATTTTGCACTTTCATTTATGTCCCTGTGTGCCGAAATAAAACAGAATCCCTCAATCCATGCTAACACATATATTTTCTAGGTGTATTGGAAAAAGTTATACTACTTGTTTCATCTAAATCTGTTTAAAACAGGGAAAGTGTCGCAATTGTGAACTCCACGTTGAGATGTCAGGAATAGATCATTTACTGCATAGTCTTAGAGGCACTGGACTGAGAGCCAGGGGATTTCCCTCCTAGTTCTTCCATCCTCTGGGGTTCAAACTAATCTTTTGTCAAATGCCTACAAGATGATGTCCACGTAGTCTTTCATACAACAAATATGGCTTTTTGCCAAGGACGTTCAAGGCATTGCTCTTTCCAGCCAAACTATTCTAGAATTTCCAGTATTGTTGAGCAACTCTTAGTGTTTAGCCTCGAGTTGCACTCCATTCCAGTTTTTGCAACCCCATCGTGCAGAAGCTCAGGGGCTACTGAAGAGACACGATAACGCTCCTAAAAGTAAGTACGAAATGTTACAAGATAGATGATGAATTGTCAGAACGTACTCAAAAGCCAAAACATCCCGCCTGGCCCGAAGCAGTAAAAGACGAAGGCCAGGACCCAGCAGTCTCCGCACCCACCCAACGCAGAGCGTAGAGAGATGGTGAGCTCCGGGCGGCGGAGTGGGAGGCTCGGAGACCGAAAACACTGCAGTGCGCGAGCGCGGGCGGGGCTGGGCGGGCGTGACCGCTTTCCTGGCCCGCCACGCCCAGCGGCGGCCTCTTTAAGTAGCGGAGCCGCAGGCGGGGCCCGCTGGGGTTCACGTGACTCGGCGTTGCTGGCTCGCTTGCGGAAGTGGTCCTACCTTTGCGGCCGGCGCGGGGTCTCCGGGCGCCCTGTGGGGCAGGCAGACTGGGCCATCCGGCTTCTGGCCGCCGGGATGGTGCAGCTGTACAACCTGCACCCGTTCGGGTCGCAGCAGGTAGTGCCCTGCAAGCTGGAGCCGGAGCGGTTCTGCGGCGGGGGGCGTGACGCGCTTTTCGTGGCGGCAGGCTGCAAGGTGGAGGCTTTCACCGTGGCCTGCCAGGAGCTGTGCCAGCCGCGGTGCACCTTCTCCACGCTGGGCCGGGTGCTGCGCCTGGCCTACAGCGAGGCGGGTGAGTAACCGGGAGAGCCAGCGGCCGCCTGGGGCCCGGCTTGGGGCCTCCTACTAGCGGACCGAGCATCCGGGCTGCAGTTCTAGCTGGGGATGGGACTTCTTGCTTCCCGGAACGTGCCGGGTGGTCTTCCTGGATCTGGCCGCTGATTGCTCGAAGTCGCGTTGAGCTCTGCTGTTGTCGCGGCAAGCATAGGTGTGAGCTTGCTTCTGTGGGGGCGCAGACGCTGACGTCTCTTCATCTTCGTTTGTGGCAGAAAGGCCTCTGGCTGGATTTCACTTATCTCGGATACTTAAGCAAACAGCAACAGAAAACTCTTCAGTGCAGAAGATTTCAAAGACTTACAAAAAACGTAGGAATAGGGAGACTAAGTGCTGTATCCTGAACCTCCAAGTACTCCCAGCGTAAACAATTTTCCCAATTCATGGCCAGTCCCTTCACATCTACACCTCCATCCACTTCCGGTCAGTTTTTGAAAGCTGACATTATGTGTGTGGATTTTTTGTTTTATTTATTTTATTTGAGACGGAGTCTCGCTCTTGTTGCCCATGCTGGAGTGCAATGGCGCGATCTCGGCTCACTGCAACCTTCCCCTCTCAGGTTCAAGAAATTCTCCTGTCAGCCTCCCGAGTAGCTAGCTGGGATTACAGGCATGCACCACCATGCCCGGCTAATTCTGTATTTTCAGTAGAGACAGGGTTTGTCTATGTTGGTCAGGCTGGTCTTGAACTCCCGACATCAAGTGATCTGCCTGCCTCGGCCTCCCAAAGTGCTGGGATTACAGGCGTGAGCCACCGCGCCCAGCCATGTGTTGATTTTTAAATGTACAAAAGTAGAACTCAAGTTTTAGACTGACCCCCTCTCTTTCCCTAAACAGCTGTAAGAGTAACCATTACTCTTTCCCACCAGAAATGTGAAGCAATACCAAGGAAATACCATGTGGGTGAACCCTGTTTTAGAAAAATCCAGTATTTAAAACTAGATGCCTTTCAGATTACAGAAGAATTTACCATAGAATTTCTGTAACTAATACACTTACCTTTGATACATACGTTATAAGATGGGTGTAAAGTGCAGTATTTACCGTGCAAAAGCTGGTGGCTGTGGTATTAATGAGAGAGCTTGAACCTGGAAGATTGGAGATCGCTCTCTGATTCCTACTTCGCAGCTGGTTCGGTGTGAGTTTATAGAAACCTTGTGGTCTGAGTTTGTGTTAAAAAAGCTGAATTAATATGTCAGTGATATCCAGAGACTAGGATTTTTGTGGATCACTTAAAAACTGTAGGGCAGCCATACATAGATAGTGTCTGACTGTCAAATGAATACATATACAGGCATACCTTGTTTTTTTTGCACTGCACTTTGTTGTACTTTGCAGATACTGCGGTTTTTTTTTTTTTTTTTTTTTTTTTAACAGTTTCAAAGTTTGTGGCAACCCATGTGGAGCAAATCTACCAGTTCCATTTTTCACACTGCATGTGCTCACTAATATCTCTGTGTCACATTTTGGTAATTCTTGGCAATGGTTCAAACTTTTTCATTATTATATCTGTTATGTTGAACAGCAATCTTTGATGTTACTATTGTAATAGTTTTGAGATGCCATGAACTGTGCCCATATAAGATGGTGAACTTAATTGATATGTGTTGTATGTGTTCTGACTACTGCTCTGATTGTCTCTGCCTCTCCTGGGGCTTCCCTGTTCTCCGAGACACAACAATATTGAAATCAGGCCAGTTAACAACCCTGCAGTGTCTTCTAAGTGTTCAAGTGAAACTTGCATGTCTCTCACTTTAAATCAAAAGCTGGAAATGGTTAAGCTTAGTGAGGAGGGAAGACATGTCAGAAGCTGAGATAGGCCACTCCGTAGGCCTCTTGCACCAAACACTTAGCCAAGTTGTGACTGCAAAGGAAAAGTTCTTGAAATTAAAAGTGTTACTCCAGTGAAAACAAATGATTAGAAAGCCTTATTGCTGATGGGAAAAAACTTGGGTTCTTGGTAGAAGATCAAACCAGCCATAATGCTGCCTTAAGCCTGGGCTTACTCCGGAGCAAGGCCCTCTTTTTAATTCTGTGAAGGCTGAGAGAGGTAAGGAAGCTGCAGAAGAAAAGTTTAAAACTAGCAGAGCTCAGCTCATGATATTTAACGGAAGAAGCTTTCTCCATAATAAAAAAATGCAAGGTGAAGTAGCAAGTGATGATGTAGAATCTGCAGCAAGTTGTCCAGAAGATCTAGTTAAGATGATTTGATGGAGGCAGCTATGCTAACCAACAGATTTTCAATGTAGGTAAAACAGTCTTAAATTGGAAGAAGATGCCAGCTAGGTAGGACTTTCTTGGATAGAGAGGAGAGGATAATGCCTGGCTTTAAAGAACAGGCTAACTCTTGTTAGAGGGGTAATGCAGCTGGTGACTAAGTTGAGGCCAGTGCTCATTTACCATTCTGAAAATCATAGCTCCCTTTTAAAAATTATGCTAAATCTACTCTGCCTGTGCTTTGGACGTGAAACAAGCCTGGATGACAGCACAGCTGTTACAGCATTGTTTGCTGAATATTTTAAGCCCGCCGTTTTGATCTACTGCTCAGAAAACAAGATTCCTTTCAATTGCTGCACATTGACAATGCACCGAGTCCCCCAAGACCTCTGATGGAGATGTGGAAGAAGGAGATTCATGTTGTTTTCATACCTGCTAACACAGCATCCATTCTGCAGCTCATGGATCCAGTAGTAATTTTGACTTTCAAGTCTCATTATTAAAGAAGTGCAGTTGGTAAGGCTATAACTGCCACAGATAGTGATTCTTCTGATGAATTTGGGCAAAATAAATTGAAAACCCTCTAAAAAGATCTCACCCATTCTAGATGCCATTAAAACCATTCAGGGTTCATAGAAGGAGGTCACATACCAACATTAACAGAAATTTGGAAGTAGTTGATTCCACCCCTCATGGATGACTTTGAGACGTTCAAGACTTCAGTGGATGAAATAACAGTAGAGGTAGTAGAAATAGCAAGAAAGCTAGAATTAGAAGTGGACTCTGAAGATGTGTTGGAATTCCTGCAATCTTATGATCAAACTTGAATGAATGAGATGCTTCTTATGGATGAACAAAGAAATGGTTTCTTGAAATGGAATCTGTTTCTGTTGAAGATGCTGTGAACATTGTCAAAATGACAACAAATGATTTAGAATATGCCATAAACTTAGTTGATAGAGCAGTTGACAAGGTCTGAGAAGATTGTCGTTAATTTTGAAGTTCTACTTTAGGTAAAATGCTATCAAATAGCATTGCATGCTACAGAGAAATAGTTTGTGAATGGAAGCGTCAATTGATGGAGCAAACTTTATTGTTGTCTTATTTTAAGGATTTGCCATAGTCATTCCAGTTTCCAGTGACCACCACCTTGATCAGTCAGCAGCCATCAGCATTGGTGCAAGACTCTTCACCAGCAAAATGATTGTGTCACTAAAGACTTGGATGATTGCTGGCATTTTTTAGCAATAAAGTATTTTTAGTTAAGGTACATACATCGTTTTGTTTTTTGTTTGTTATTTTTAGGTATAATGCAGTTTCACTTCTAATAGACTATAATCTAGATCAAATATAAATTTTATATGCACTGGGAAACAAAAAAATTTATGTGATTCTTTTTATTGCATTATTTGCTTTATTGTAACGGTCTGGAAGCAATCCTCCAATATCTCTGGGATATGCCTGTGTTTAAAAAAGAAAAAAATGAAAAGCCCTACTATTTACTGTCATCATTTATAAAAGAGAAAGAAAACTTAGCACCAAACACTGGATATCTTTAGCTTTGTGAGCAACTTACTCTGCTCTCTTTTTTTTTTTTTGCCTAATAACAACATCAGGGGGGCCTGCACTGGGCCACAGACCTATTTGAAAACCACTCATTAACTCTTTAAGTTCTCTTTCAGCAGGAATATTCCAATTTTGGTATTTCTTATAAAATCTGTCTTTAAGAGTCATACCTGTTACAATATTGGTAGTTTTCTCTATACTCCCCCTTTAAGGCATAAGAGTTCTTACTTTCAAGAGTTCTATTGAGTTGCAAACTCACCAGTTTCAATGTGTGTGTGTGTGTGTTAGAGAGAGAGAGACAGAGAAAGACAGACAGACAGGCATACACACAGGCACAATATGTTTACATGATTTGCTTCATTCTTCCAAGTGGATGTTTATTTTAGAATTTGAAGTGGCAGGTATTATGTAAATTTCTAACTTTCTTGCCTGTCAGATCCTTGGATGGCCACTACCTATGCATATGAGTTACTTGGGGAGTTTTAAAAAATACCATGCCGGGCCACACCCTCAATACAGTAAGAATTTCCCTGGAGTGAGGCCAGCATTGGAGAGAGTCAGATATTTAGCCAGGACTGAGAACCACTGACCTAGAGCTGCACTGGCTGCAGGAGACTGTGAGCAGCATTGTAACCTCATTAACGAGGCCTTGAAGAATGAAGACGTTTTTATAATCCAGTTGGCTGCCTTACAGCAGGTTCAGGAGTCATGTGAGATGGAATTAGCATCACGGGTCATGTAGCTCAAGGGAAAGTTTCAGTCCATAGCTTGAACTCAATCCCTGGGTACAGCTCCAATTAATCTACCCATGAATGAACATAAATAGGGCTGACTTTGGGTATGCTGATATCCAAATAACTTGTTTTCCACTTCTCAGCTTTTCCCTTTTGGCCCCTTCCTTCCATTCACAATAACTGGGACATGAGGATTCCTGCTCAGTGCCCAGCATCCTTCTCTGTAGCAAGTCTCCTCATCAAAAATGGAAAGAATCTTACGTCAACCATCTGTATTTACTAAAAATGCTTTTCAGGCCTCAAGCAGAAAACATTTTCAGGTTAAAAAAAAATCTCAAATTAGCTGAAAGCTGTTTTTGAAATAAAATTGGGGGGTATTAGGGAGAAAATAGGTAGAAATTTTGAAGGATGGGGGCCCCTGATATCATCATCAATAAGGGAAAATTACTTTAAGCTTTGTGTGTGGTATGGTTTGGTTGTGTCCCTACCTAAAGTCTCATCTTGAATTGTAATCCTCATAATTCTCACGTGTCAAGGGTGGGACCAGGTGGAGGTAATTTGATCATGGGATCAATTTCCCCATGCTGTTCTCATGAAGATCTGATGGTTTTTACGTGTCTGGCATTTCCCCTGCTCACACTTATTCTCTGTCCTGCCACCCTGTGAAGAGGTGCCTTCTGCCATGATTATGAGTTGCTCCCTAGCCATGTGGAATTGTAAGTCTATTAAACCTTTTTTCTTTATTACCTGGTCTCAGGTATTTGCTTATAGCAATAATGTGAAAATGACTAATGCAGCGTATAAAGCAAAGAAGAGGAGAGACATGAGACCAGCCCACTCCTGAAAGAGAAAGATCTGATGGCCAGGGTCAAGTGCTGTGTGGGGACCTTTGGTGGTAGACACTTGTTAATGGGGTATCTAGTGGTGGTGGGGCATAGAGGACACAAGACCACAAGGCTGTCATTGCCTGGCCGTTAGCACAAGTGTACTAAACCAGACTCAGCCCATCTACCCTCCCCAGGCCTTACTTTCTCTCAGTTTTCTTGAAGTCTTAAAACATATTTTGATGCCTTATAAATTATTTCTGCCTTCTGATGTCAATTCTGTCATAGCAGTACAACCTTTAATCTGGTATTACTGTTAGCCATGTTTGTGATCTTGCTATAAACGGGAAAGTTTACTTATTTTTAAAACTCAATAATTCTAAGCTCAAGAATAAAAATGGGAATGATTTTTCAGTTTACTTAATAAAGACAGAAGGTGAGCCTAGACTACATGGTGAAACCCTGTTTATACATATAAATATATACACACATATACAAAAATTAGCCAGGTGTAGTGGGTCACACCTGTAGTTCCAGCTACTTAGGAGGCAGAAGTAGAAGGATCACTTAAGCTTGGGAGGTGGAGGTTGCAGTGAGCCAAGACAACTTGGGCAACAGAGCATGACACTGTCTAAAAAAATGTTTTAAAGGTAAAATGAGGCACTGTACACATAGTGCTTAAAAATATTTAGTTCCCTTCTCTTGAAAAGGGTTATAACTTCCACAGACTCCTGTAGACTTGTTTCTCCCTTCTGTCAGTTTGAGAAACAGCATTATTGGGCAAAGAACATAAACTTTTGAGCTAAACTGATCTAGGTTTGAGTCGTAGTTTCCTAAATTGTTGGTTGTGTTGCCTTAGGCAAGTTATTTTGCTTGTCTGTGCTTCAGATTCCTGATGTATAAAATGAGGAGGGAGATATATATATCTTGAAGGGCTGTTGTGAGGATTAAGTGAAGGAGCACTAAAGCTCTGATCATAAGGATTGTCAGGTAGGCACACTTAGCAAGTGCTGGATTATTTAAAGACCAAGTCATTAATCTGGAAAAACACAAGACCATATGGGTATCTACAACTTGCAGACTATCAACATTAGTTAATATATGAATTTTATAGATGAAATGGACATGTATAGGTACATGAATAAAAAGGTTTATTGTAATTAAATATTCTTAGTTTTAAAATTTATTTACTAACTTGAATATGATACCAAAAGTATCGGCAACAGAAGAAAAATAGGTAAACCGGACTTTATCAAAATTAAAGACTTGTGTATCAAAAGACTCTTATCAACAGATTGAAAAGATAACATGGAATGGGAGAAAATATTTGCAAATCATATATCTCATAAGGGATTAATGTATAGGATATATATAATAAAAAGCTCTTACAACTCAACAACAACCAAAAAAACTTGATTAAAAAATTGGCTAAGGACTTAAATAGACATTTTTCCAAAGAAGAAGATATGTAAATGTCAAAAAAAATATGAAAAGATGCTCAACATCACTGATCATTAGGGAAATGCAAATCCAAACCACAGTGAGATAGCACCTCACACCCATTAGGATGCCTGTTATCAGAAAAAACAAATTAGCAAGTGTTAGGAAGAATTTGGAGAAATTGGAACACTTGTACATTGCTTGTAGGGGTCTAAAATAACACAGCCTCTGTGGAAAACAACATGGCAATTTCTCAAAACATTTAACATAGAATTACCATATGATCCAGCAATTCTACTTCTGGGTGTATACCCAAAAGAACTGAAAACAGGGACTTGATACATGTATACCAATGTTTGTAGCAACGTTATTCCCAAGGGCCAAAAGGTGGAAACAGTCCAAGCCATTGACAGGTTAATGAGTAAATAAATTGTGTAAACATATGGTAGAGTATTATTTGGCTTTTAAAAGCAATGAAATTCTGATGCATGCCACAAACTGGATGATAAATCTTGAAGAAATTATTCTAAGTGATATAAGCCAGACACAAAAGGAAAAATACTATATGGTTCAACTTATATGAGGTACCTGGAGTAGTCAAATTCATAGAGATAGAAAGTATAATGGTGGTCTCGTCCTGGGGAGAGGGAGGAATAGGAAGTTATTGGTTTAATAGGTACAGAGTTTTTTAATAGATGAAAAAGTTTCAGAGATGGATGGTAGTGATGGTTACACAGCAATGAGAAGATGCCAGTGCCACTGATCTGTAGACTTAAAAATGGTGAAAACAGTACATTTTATGTTTTGTGTATTATATTACAATTTAAAAATTTTTAATTTATTTACTGGGAGAATTTTAGGAAGATGGAGGCCTCAACTTTATCCCAACACTGTTCAAACTGCTTCTCTGTAAAAGTGAACAAACTTAGGGCACCTGTAGGATCTCTAGGCATTCTACGAAGATTCCAGGGACAGAACAGGTTCAGGCTCCATGTCTGTGGCATAAAAAGAACCATCATCAGGAGAAAGCTTGCTACCTCTGGAAGACAGGATCATTTTGGAGGAGCGGGCCTGGTCCAGCCCAGTGAATGTCCACAGAAAGGGGTAGCACCTGCTTGCTTGCCAAGAAGTCAATATAATGGCAGCATTTCAATTTCAATTCATTGGAAAAGGGCCGATTTGCTTAATAGTGTTAATGTAATAGAGTCTACATTTGGAAGAACTGAAGTTAGATCCTCTGACTTATCCTCTTCCTTACTCACAAAATTCTGAAGATTAAAAAAATACGTTTTTTTGATCTTTAGATTTAATCCACTAAAATAGAAGGAAATGTAGGGGGCATATTTATGTAATTTGGAGGACATGGATAGGAATTCAGAAGGCAAAGAGGAAAAGATACTTATAGTACTAAATAAAAATGTTAAGGTAAAAGATGCCGTCAGCAAAGTCAAAATCAGACAATAGACTATGCAAAACTATTTACTGTTTATGGATGACAAAAGGTTAACATCCCTTTTAAGCAGAGAGCTACAGTTCCATGATAAGAAAAACAAATGAGCAACTTAGTAAAAATTGGACAGCATGCAGAAGAGAAACTATACATGGCTGATAAACGTAGGAAAAGATGACCAGCTTTATAAAAAGATCTGGGAAATGTAAATTATAATAACCATGAGAGTCCATGTTTCTCCCATTGTGTAGAGTCAGTCCTAGTAAGAATATGAGGAAATGGGCGTGTGTAAGCAGTCCTGCTGGTGACATGAATTTCTATCATCTAATTGATAGCAATCTGACAATATTGAAATTTAAAATGCTCATGTTCTTTGGCCCAACATTCTCACTTTCGAGAATCTGTACCATTAAAATAAATCCCCCAGTAAATAAATATATAGACACAGGCCTGTGTATTACTATGAAGCATAGTGGCAAAAAAAACCCCAAAAAAACAAGCAAACAAACAAAAATCCTGGACATATATTTGAATGTTTATCAGTAGGGGAATTGTTGAATAAATTATGCCTATGTATGTATGGGATGTTGGACATACTGAAAAGGATGTTAGATATCCATGTATCAGCCTGGAGGGAGAGAGTTATTAATAATTTTTTAAAGTTGCAGATTGTTAAATATATTTAATATGATTACATTTTAGTTTTTGTTTGTTTTTAAAAAGACAAAATAGTGCTCTGTGATCTCTGTTTATAAGAGAGAAAGGTGTTCAAAGGCACATACCAGGCTGCATGTTAACATTGGGTCCTCGAAGAGGAGATCATTATGCTTTTCATTTGCATCTCTTTACCACTTTACCCTTTTGATTTCTCATGACCAATATATGTTACTTTTATAAGTTAAAACTTATACAATCAACAATTTAGAGAAAATTAACTTGGATTTGTATTTTCTTTGCATTTCCAATTTTATCTTCTCAGACTTGTGATTCGTTGGAAGGAGAGGGTTTGAAGTCTAAGTTCAACTCCTGAGAGTTCCTTAATGTATACCTAATTTTAATGTCACAGTAGTAGTGAACTCTGTCAGTTAGAGTGTTGTTGGAACTACAGATTTAGAGCTACAGTGAACACTTAATATAATGCATAAAATGTTATATGGACAATTAATGGGTTGTCTTAAGACACTAAAATGGGGAGAGAGTGCATTTCAGAACCTCAAAGCCTAATGTCAGTATGTCAGTTAAAAATACACTAAGATTTTATTACTTAGGGTTTTATTCTGTTCAATTTTTTTTTTTTTTTGAAATGGAGTTTTGCTCTTGTTGCCCAGGCTGGAATGCAGTCACATGATCTCTGCTCACTGCAACCTCCGCCTCCTGATTTCAAGCGATTCTCCTGCCTCAGCCTCCCGAGTAGCTGGGATTACAGGCATATGCCAGTAATCCATACTTGACTAATTTTGTATTTTTAGTAGAGAGGGGGTTTCTCTGTGTTGGTCAGCCTGGTCTCAAATTCCCAACCTAAGATGATCTGCCTGCCTTGGACTCCAAAGTGCTGGGATTACAGGCATGAGCCACTGCTCCCGTCCTCTATTCAATGTTTAAATCAACCATTCGCGTTAGAATTCATTAATAGTACTCATGTCAGTAAGGGAGGTGGTTGTATTTCTAATCACAAATTCTAAGTATAATCTTTATTTCTTCTCAGGAGATTATCTGGTAGCAATTGAAGAGAAAAACAAAGCTACATTTCTACGTGCTTATGTGAACTGGAGAAATAAAAGGACTGAAAACTCTCGTGTGTGTATCCGAATGATTGGGCATAATGTGGAGGGACCCTTCAGCGGAGCTTTCAGAGACCAGATGTACATTGTTGAAATGCCACTTTCAGAGGCCCCCTTGTGCATTTCCTGTTGCCCTGTGAAAGGAGACCTTCTTGTTGGCTGCACAAATAAATTAGTCTTATTTAGTTTAAAGTACCAGATGATTGATGAGGAATTCTCACTATTGGACTTTGAGTGTTCTTTAGTTATACACATAGATAATATCACTCCTGTTGAGATTTCTTTTTGTGTTGGATATGTTGCTGTCATGTCAGACTTAGAAGTCTTAATCCTAAAACTGGAGTCAGGCCCTAAAAATGGAGAGAGAGTTCACCACCATCCGCATAAGACCAATGATCAAATGAGACGGACAGAAGAAGGTAAATAATGAATTTGACTTGCTTTCCTTTTTAGGAATAGGGAAAACCTTCACCTTTGGCAGTCTGAAGGGCCGTGGTATATATTACGCCTGACCATGTTATTTATAGATTTCGTTATTCCTGTTTCATGGGATTTGGGTTTATGATCTGGCTGTTTATGTCTTACTTTGTGGCATGTAAATATATCTGTCAGTGGAAGTAATGGAACAACCACTGCTAGATGAAGGATTTCTAGTGTTTGTTCTCATATTTACTAGTTGAATGACCTTGGGTTAATTATACCATCTCTGAGTTTCAATATCCTCATGTGTAAAATGGGGAAGATAATACCTATCCTGTTGGACTTTATCTGTTGTTGTGGAGATTAAATGAGCAAGCACTAAGACTTCACAGCCATAGTGCCTTGTAAATATTTTAATAATATTTAAATAATTTTATAAATAAAATTATAGATCTATTCAATTGGTGAGAGGATGTTATGAAATCTAATTTTCATTCAAGCAGAACTCTTACATTTTGTTTTTTGAAGGCTTCAGTAATGAAATTTCACAGCTTGAGTCAGATTTTGTTATCTGCCAGAAGCCCCTGGAACTTCTTGGTGAAAAAAGTGAACAGTCTGGATTATCTGTTACATTGGAGTCTACGGGATTAGCTGATGAAAAAAGAAAATATTCCCACTTTCAGCACCTTCTCTATAGGTATGATAGAGCTTTTTATTTACCAGCATTTAATGTGTGCATATATATATATATGCCTGCTTAAAGTACATGGAAGTTACATTTTTCCCTTTCTCTGTCTTTTTAAACCCACAGACGTTTTACTCCTGATATTTCGTCTTACGCCTTGTCTGATGACATCAGGTTGCATTCCCTCCAGCTGCTGCCCATTTATCAGACTGGTAAGCATGATAGTGCAGGAGTGTGACAGTACAGCAAGGTGAAAATGCTCTGTCTGGACTAGAAGTGGAGACCCATGTGGGTAATATGTTTGGTTCGTCCACTGAGTCTCCCTGTGGCTCTTGACTAAGTTCTTAGCCAATACCTGGGAGTACTAGAAAGGAAAGTCATACCTGCTAGGAGAAACCATGGAGAGGGCATGACAGACTGAACTTATTTCCCTTTTTGAAATGGCCTATGGACCCAAAAAGTTAGAGCAGAGGTATGTCTGGGTTCTAGCTAGGTGTTTGGCAAAGCTTCTTATGATGGCCTTGTGAACAAGGTGTGAAAATGTGGAATGAATGGGAAATAATTTAGAGCAGTGGTTGTCAACCCTGCTACACATTGAACTTACCTGAATGCTTTTAGAAAATATTGATGCTCAGGCTCTATATGCAGGATATCAGTTACAGGGCCTGGGCATCAGTATTTATTAGAAGCTCCTGAAGAGTCTAATGAGCACCATGGTTGAGAATCACTAATAGGGCCTGCCCTCACTTCTGACCTGATTAACATCTTTAGATGTTATCTAAAGATACAAAATTATTATTCTGATTAAATTTCTTTCTAACCTTCATTTATTTTTTCTTTCTTTTGGTAAATATTTTTGAGTACCTACTATGTTGGACATTGTGCTGAATACTAGCGAACTAACAGAGAGTGAAGCACTTGCTCTTACTGAGCTAATTGTCTAATGGGGGAAGGGAGACAGTTGAATAATGGGAGACTCACAGTTCCATCCTGAAATGAGTGATCTGTTGTACACCTCCCTATGAAAGCCTATAACAAAAGACCCTGACCTCATCTTGAGGTCAGAGAAGGCTTCCTGAGAAAGAGGATCTGAAGAGTACATTGGACTGACTTGGGAATAGGGGTTGATGTAGGGAAGGGGAAGAGGGGAAGAGAGCCTTCCAGACAGAAGCAGCAGCAAAAGCTCTGTGGTAGAGGAAGAATCACATTTGAGAAACTTAGAGAAGCAAAACTAAGGGGCGGCAATGAGACAGGGCTGGAGACCAGACAGGGCCAATAGCCATATTAGAGGATCAGCTAAAGATCCAGTGAGCTTCCCATAGCACTTGGAATAAAAACTCCAAATCCATTCTGTGACTTACATGATCTTAATTCTGAGCTCATCTTGTCCCAGTCACCCTGCTTACTGTTTTTCATCCACAGTGGCATTTCCTTCTGCCTTAGGTAAGCCACATCTTATCTAGGACCTGTTATTCTCACTTCTTGTGCTTAGAGTGTACTTTCCTCAGATCTTGTGTGACTGGTGCATTTAAGTCATTCAGTTCACAACTGAAGTGTAACCTCATCTTGGAGGACTTCTCCGACCTCTCAATTTAAAATCCTCCTTCTCCTGTCACACTGGAGTTTACTTGTTTATTCTATATCCCAATCCCCATCACTAGAATGAAGGCTCTGTGAAAGCAGTTACATACACTATCTTGTATGCTGTTGTAGCCCTAGAATCTCGAACAGCACCACTTAGTAGATATCTAATGAATATTGACTGAATAGACAAATGAATGGATGGGTGGTATTTATTTGAGCTGGGCCCTAATGGATGAGTAGAATTTTTAGAAGATGGAGATTTCTTTTTTTTTTTTGAGATGGAGTTTCGCTCTTGTTACCCAGGCTGGAGTGCAATGGCGCAATCTTGGCTCACCGCAACCTCCGCCTCCTGGGTTCAGGCAAGTCTCCTGCCTCAGCCTCCTGAGTAGCTGGGATTACAGGCACGCGCCACCGTGCCCAGCTAATTTTTTGTATTTTTAGTAGAGACGGGGTTTCACCATGTTGACCAGGATGGTCTCCATCTCTTGACCTCGTGATCCACCTGCCTCGGCCTTCCAAAGTGCTGGGATTACAGGCGTGAGCCACCGCACCTGGCGGAAGATGGAGATTTCTATAGGATATTACATAATGGGAACAAACATTACATGAGTGTAAAATTATCATGTGTATTTGGAGATTAGTGAACAGTTCTCTTTGACCATAGCACAGATGTGTGGGAATTAGACTCTTTACTGTAAAATTTCCCACAATCTGAATTTTACTAATTGAATCCTTGCAGTGTCTTTTAACATGTTTCTGTATCCACTGTATTTCCATGTGAGTTGGTAGATGGAAATCTATGTTGTCCAGTATGGTTGGTTACATGCTGCTATTGAGCACTCGAAATATGACTAGTCTGAATTGAGATATGGCATAAGTATAAAATGCACATTTGATTTTGAAGACTTAGTACAAAAATATATACATTAATTTTTTTGCTTATTGCTTCTTGAAATGTTAATATTTTTGGTATGTTGGGTTAATACAGTATAATTAAAATTTTGCCTGTTTCTTTTTACTATTTAAAATGTGATTACTAGAAATCTTTAAATTACAGATGTGGCTCACATATTTCTATTGACATTGCTGGTCTATACTCAGGCTTGTTCAGATTATTTATTATTATTGTAATTTTTTTTGAAACACAAGTAGTGTTGAGCTCTGCCAGTGGACTCTTTTTGTGATGTTAACAGCCACTGATGATCATTACATAGATCTGTTAATTTAGTAGGGGTTGCACAATGCTGATATTCTAATTATATTACTCCTTTTTTTATTTCTTATCAGCATTCCTCTGTAAAGAGCAACTTCCCCTTTGCAACTCGTTGGTTACCCGCTGATAAGAGTTTGCATAGCACAGTCAAGATATGATTATTTCCCATTATTTACTGGTTTCATGGTGTTTTATTTCTTTCATTTTTGCATGCAGGTCCTCTTACTTCTGATGGAAAAAGTTTGTCTCAGGAAAAAGAATTGCTGAGTCTCTTTTGCTTTTTCTCATTACCTCATGTGGGCTATCTCTACATGGTTGTGAAATCCATTGAACTGATGTCGGTCTACCAGTATCCTGAGAAGTCTCAGCAGGCAGTACTCACACCACAATTTTTGCATGTCATTACAAGGTACTGTTACAGGGTCACTTGCTGGCCTGTGAGTTGCTTATTTTTCTGTAAATTTTTGAGGTGCTGCCTAAATCTTTGAGAATTGTGTGAAGTAGCATAGAGTACATGTCATTGTAAGTCTGTCTTTTGATGACCCATACCTGCCTTTTCAATGTCAACATTTAGACGCTGGTTTTTTCTTTGCTTTGTTTCCTTAGACTGGATGGGGATCCCTGGAAGGAAGTATAAGGTTCTTCATAAAGGAGACTCTTGTAGAGAATCTTAATGAAAAGGCAATGGGGCCAGTCAGAGCATCTCTTTAAGTTTCTTTTCAGATTTCCTAATTTTTTTTTTCTCACTGCTACCATATTTTCCAGTATAAATTGAGTTATATTATAATGGTTTAGAACTGTGTAGGGGCCAGAGAGATGATCTGATCCTCTCCTTGATTAGCACAGATGGGGAAGTAGTTACAGAGAGGTTAGAATTGGCCAAAGTCATGTGCTAATTGGTGGCAGATGTGTTGTGTTGCCTTCCCTTATTATGCTGGCATGTAAACTGGGTTCATAAACAGTAGCTTGATCTCATTTCCTCTTAATCTCAGTAGCACATGATGGTTTTGGTTTTATTTCCTCTTTTTTGAGCTTAGATTATATATAGGGCACTGCCGTGTGCCCTCTGACCAAGCAACTGTGAATAATATACACTAATCACTTTCTAAAGCAACAGTATAAGAGAAGGTTAGAGAAATGTGCAAGGGTCACAGACACTAGGAGATTTGTCAAAAATGTCTTAAAACCTCATGAAAGTGCAATAGGCACTGGGAGGAGGGAAATTACTTCTGGCTAAGTTGTATGGGGAAGTTGTGGATAGCTGACTGTGTTTGAAGTGGAGCATGAAAGCTAGCTAGAATGTTGGTAGATGAAGATTGCAAGAGATGTGCATTACAGATTGAAGGAAGACTATAAACAAAATTCGTATCAAGTCTTTAGCAACATTCAAAAATTAATTGCACAGGAAAGAGATTCTCCCACCACTGAGTGGTGGTATCAGAATCTCTAGCAGGTGCTGGAGTTTATTTCAAACTCATCTGGAGATTCTGATGTCCACTCTTAGTGTTGTGCTCCCCTCTCCACCTGATTTCTGGCTTAAGGAGAGATGCTGCTGATGGGGTTTTGTTTCATAAGTGAACAATGCGGAGGTAGCTAGTCTTTCCAATTTCCAAAGTGTTGTGTAGTGATGCTCTTTAAATATAAAGAAGCTGAAAGGTAGAGAGGTGGTGAAAATAGTGCTTGAGAGAGAACTCAAGAATTTGAAAATTAAACTAAGGACTTTTTAAAAGAAAAAATGATGTGATCGGAACATTGCTTTAGGAAAATTAATGGTGGCTGTTGTGGAAGATGGATTGAACATAGAAAAATAAGCTATTGGAATAGTTCAGGCAAGGATATTAAGGGGTGGTATTCAGGCAGTGTAGTAGTAATGAAAGGAGAAGGGAGGATGCATAGGAGAGTCTTCAGCAGGAAAGTTAAAAGACTGGTCTGATGGAATAATGGGTATGTAGGAGGCATGAACAATTCCACCAAGGTTTTGAGTCTGCTTTTATGAAAGAATGGAGGCTGGGGAAATGTGGGGCAAAAGAAATGTTTGGTTTAGACATTTGAGATTGAGATGCTTATAGATTATCAAGAGATAATGCTAAGTGGGCTTTTGGACACATAGAACTGTAGATTAAGGTAAAGAGGAAAGCTTAGAAGTTTTATTACCATCAAAAAAAGGAGTTAATTATTAAAGTAGTGAACCTGACCCCATGAGTGTATAGACAGCGAAAAGTTAAAGAACTAAACTCCGGTGAAGGTCTTGTTTAGTAAGCAAGGGGAGAAAGAGGAAGATCTTTAAGGATGCAGAAGAGTCTAGGAAAATATGCCATCTCAGAAACGAAGGAAAAAGAGAGAGAGAAGGAAGGAATAAAAATACTAATTTCTGTACCATTATATAGATATAAAAGACTATCCATTTTTTTCCCATCTTATTGCACATATGTGAAGTACACTGAGAATTTAGTGAGTAGACCCACTAAATTTATTGCCCCATTTCTCATATATAAGTTATGAACAAATTTGGAGTGTAGAGTCCTGAAAGCATTATATTATGAGTTTGAATGGACTTTTAATTTGTGGGTTTTGATTGCCTCCAGATAGGAAATTTTTGAGCTTTTCTTATTATCAGCACTAAAGGAGACTGACATCATTAACTTGATTGGACATTAGAATAGCAGTTGCTTTATGTAAATTCAGATTCTTAATAAGAATCTACACTCCTGTCTTTTAAATCTTACATTCTTACATTGTCGAACTCATTTTTACATCATTTTTTTTTTAAGACAGAGTTTCGGTCTTGTTGCCCAGGCCGGAGTGCAGTGGTGTGGTCTTGGCTCACTGCAACCTCTGCCTCCCAGGTTCAAGTGATTTTCTGCCTCTGCTCCCAAGTAGCTGGGATTATAGGCACCTGCCACTATGCCTGGCTAATGTTTTTGTATTTGTAGTAGAGACAGTTTCACCATGTTGGCCAAGCTGGTCTCCAACTCCTGACCTCAGGTGATCCGCCTGCCTTGGCCTCCCAAAGTGTTGGGATTACAGGTGTGAGCCACCGCGCCTGGCCCATCTTTTTTATTTTACCAAGTAGATTAAAATTTTAAAAATATCTTATCCTATAAGGTGGTCTTTGAAAGTTTCTTGAAGATTGGTGTATTTATACACCTAAAGAAAGCAATAGGGTTTTTTTTTAAGAAGCAAAGAACAAAATAAAATAATGTAAAATGCCAACTTTATGGAAATGTATAAGTTAGGAAAGCCCTCCCCGAAATCCTATTCTTCTAGAGTTAACCACATTGACTTTTTTTTTTTTACAATGCCTTATTTTTTACAGAAATTGAGCATACTCTGTCCACTGTTCAGCAACTTGCTGTTTTATATAGCAGTATATCGTGGACATCTTTCCATGCCAGCACATTTCAGTTTACTTTATTGTTTCTCTTGTATGTACTTCTGCCTAGAATTCCAACAGTAGCCAACAGGCTGGATTCCTATAGGTGGAGGTAAGTCAGAGAACCCTGCCTTTTTATCTCTAGAATCTAAGGTCATTTGTTTTTGTGGTCATAGCTATTTCCAGCTGTCCTTCTCATCCCACTGCAGATGATTTTTTGCTTCCCTGTCTCTCAGTTTACTTCCCAAGGTTGCTAACTCCAGATTTGTAAGTGGTGGTGCTGCTGTCCCAGGTATTGTCAGGACTCCGAAGATCATTTCCTAGAACTTTTCAGAAATACAGATGGCAGTGAGCTGCCAACCAGGCATCTGTTGTGCACTTACTGTGGAGTCCCTAGGTCCTTTTTGTATGCAGAAGCAACCTGGAGTTGTGGAAAGAGGTAGAAGAGTGTGAGGGGTCAGGAGACCTGGGATCTAATTGGCTCTGCTCTCCAGAGAGGCAGTGGACCAGTCAGGAACCTTTCATGCCCCAATCTTTAAAATGAATTGCTGGACTAGGTAATTCTGAAGATGCCTTCAGATGGTCTCTCATTTTCAATTTGGCCGTTGGATTTGAGTTTGCATAGTCGGCGTTGTCCAGCATAATCCGGGATGGATTTCATCATGAGGTAGGTGAGGAAGATCAACAGTTAAGAAATGGGTTTTAATCCTGGTTTTGATAGGCACCCATCTGTACCTTGGGCAGGTACTAGGAGCATCATTTGTCTGTAAAATAAAGATATTGACCCAGATCCGTGGTTCCTAACTAGGAATGCACATCAGAGTCAGGGGGTTTTGTAGAAATATATACTTCTAGATTCAGCCCCTAGAGATTGTGATTCACTAGGGGTGTTATGGGACTAGTTATATATTTTTAAAAGCATACCACAGGGAATCTGAGGCATTCCTCTTATTGAGAAGCAGATTAACTTGGCAACATTTGACAAATACTTGAATCTTCTGCCACCCCTGCCATTGCCCTGTTTGCCTATGAAGCCCTCTCTACTGTGGGCATGTTGGTTCTTGGCCTCACTTTGCTCAGCAGCCTATGTCTTCCTCCTCAGTAACAACCTGCAGTGTTTCACTGTGCGGTGCAGTGCAGCAGCAGCTCGTGAGGAGGACCCGTACATGGACACCACCCTGAAGGTAAGAACTGGCTTATGAAGACAGTGAAACCTTAAGATCACAAAGGAGCACATGAATGCTCGTAGATTTTCCCTTAGTCCTAAGCTAGACAAGAACAAAAGATCTTAAGGTTGTCTAATGTATTGAATTAGAACTTTTAGATATAAAATAGAATAATGATTCATGGCCTTGTTGATAGTTTTTAAGATTGCTTTGCGAACATTTCACTCCAAATTGATTTAGTGCATAGTTTTTAAAGTTTGGTAAAGAATATAAAAAGTGTGAACTCAGAGCACTTCATGACTATAATATGCTGTAATTTTATTTATTTATTTTATTTTAACTTTTAATATTTTTGAGGCAGGGTCTTGCTCTGTCACCCAGGCTGGAGTGCAGTGGCGCAATCATGGCTCACTGTAGCCTTGAACTCCTGGGCTCAATGATCCTCCCACCTCAGCCCCTCAAGTAGCTGGGACTACAGGTGTGCACCACATGCCCAGATATTTGTTTATCTGTCTATTTTTAGTGAGAAGTAATGTGCTTAGTCTCTTAAAAAATACTCTTGACCACAAAATAAATGTAGACATTATTATGTTGAGATTCTGTGTTTTCTGACTTTAAATTTCTGTTCTCAGAAATGTACTGATCACATACCTTATATTCATCTATGTTATTTTACTTCTGGAGTATAAACTATTTGAATTGGATATTCGTTAGGAATATACATGCTGCAAGAAGCTCCTAAATCATGATGCTCTGTATTTCAAAAGTTGGTTTATATCTGCCTGGATCCTGGAATACCTTTTTCCAAGAAAATAAGCCTTCAATAATGATGGTTGTCTTAATAAGCCAGTCCCGACCTAGTGCCTAATGTGTGTGAGGTACCCTTTCACAGTCACTGTTGCCCAGTTTGTGTTATATGATAGTGTTTTATGGAACGCATGGCCTCTGAGTTCCTAGTGACCCTTTTTAGTGGCCTGCCTGTGGTTTTCTGTTGTTGACCAGGCTTACGGCCTGCTCTTAGCCTCTTGGGAAACCACAACCACAGATTTCCTGTGCCTTTGTTTGTGTAAGATATACACATGGCCCTTCCAGAGATTATTTTAAAATCAGGGTTATTTCCTTTGTAAAAATAGAAAGATAACAGATTAAAAATATAAAACTTCCTTCTTTGTCCTCTTCTTTCTTTTCCTTGCCTTTTCAAACCTCAGAAAGACATAGGCTTTAGACAAAGATATAAGGGTGATGGTGCAATTTGAAGTACCTAATAGATTGAAGTAGGATCAATATGCATTTGGAAAGAAAAAAATTCTATGTATTTTCAGAGTCTTATAAAAGCAGATGGAAGGAACAAGGAAGAGACGAAGGGGAGGGATAGGGAGAGGTGGGCATCTGGTGGGGGGTATGCCCCCTTTGAGGCCAGTGGAGGTAGGAGGGGGAGGGATAATCACACCTCACGGTTTCTCCTTTCTTGTGACTCCACCAGTTCTGAATCCCTAGATGCCATTTAAACTAGTGCACATTTAGCCTACTTGCTGACTCAAGCTTTAGAGCTGTGATGTCTGAAAAAAGTTTCACAATCTCAGAGTCTGGTTGAAAGTGCATGTGGTCTGTCTGACTTTCCTTTGAGATTCTGGCTTCTCAGCACTAGCCAAGCCACCTTAACTATTTTTACATGAAGGTAACAATGAATGTGACCTCAGAATCAAAACAGCATGCATGGACAAGAAGGCAGGGTCCTGGCAGCAGCTCCCAGAATAGAGCTCTTCCATTAGTTTTCTTATCCATTCTGCTTGAATTAATGGTCCTTTACAAGAACAGAAGGCTGGCTCCTCTAGTTTATCTACATGCCCCAGCCTGTCAGCCATTCCAGGTACTGTTCATACCTAAGAGGCTAATAGGGGCCATTGGCACATACAAGCATTTCTTTCATACACATATCCACAAAGAAACCATTTTATTTACTCTATGAGCAGTAGAATGCCCTTTCGTAGTGTCTGCTTTTGCCTAAAACCCATTTGGGCATACCCCTAACCATCCTGCTACTAATGGGGGTTTCCCTAGGTGGCCGGGTACCAGCTTCCTCTTCTGGAGGTATCTGTGTAACCACTCTGTAGGGCACACACACAAGTTCGCGCAGCTGTGGGACCCTCTTTCTGCATTTATTCAATCAATAAATAACTGAGTTTATTGGCTGAGTAGCTCTATAGGATACATATTGGTTACATAGGTTTGGATAACCTCCTCTATTAAGAATAGGAATTTGGCTTGGTTGTTTTTGTTTTTTTGAGGGGAGGGAGGGGTGGTGGCTAGGGGATGGTGGGAGCAGAAGAGATTTTATCAATAAACTCATTTTTGAAGATTGAAGTGCATGTACCTTTATTCCTTGCTTAAATTTGTGATTTTCCTTTACTAGGCTTGCCCACCTGTTAGTATGGATGTCTGTGCTTTAAGAATACAGCTTTTCATAGGCTTGAAAGCCATCTGTCACTTTAAAAACCACATCATACTTTTGACTAAAGCAGACCCTGAGACGATTCCAGAGAGAAGAGGGTCACCCAAGAGGCTTCTGTAAGCATCCCCTTGCCCCAGGCATTCCTGCCAGTTTCTGGAATGAATTGTAACTGGTATATTTTGTGTTTACCTTTTTTCAGATTATAACTTATAATGATCAAATGGCTTTTTGTTTGTTTGTTTTTCCAAATGGCTTTTATGTGGTGGTCTTTTTCAAGAGAAAAATAAGAAAGTTCTAACAGTCTTTGTAATGTACTTTATAACTGACCTGGAAACTTTTAGGAGAAAATGGATTATAAAATAATTTCAGTAAAAATCAATGATGTTTTAGATTAGTGAAAGGATATAGTCTTCTGTATAATTAATGGGATTGACTGAGCCTATAATACTAATTCAAACTACAGGACTTTTTGCTGTCTTCTTTGACCCTTTCAGTAGTTACATTTTTATCCAAAAATTATTTTCTGATACTACAAAAGAAATTAATAATGTATGTCTTACCTTAAAGCACATTTATGATCTATAGATATGTGCTGATCTATCTGAAAATAAAGTTGAATTTTGATAACATTCATCTCTTGTTATCTGTTAGGTTTTCTGCTTTCCCATTGTTTAGAATTGAATGTTTAATTCCACACTAATTATGCTTCTATTTGATGTTTTCTTACTTATTGGTAGAGAATGCAATCCATTTCTCTAAGGAAAATTTAATCAAGAAAGAAATCTCTTCAGGAAGAGAAGCATATAGTGTATTTCAAATCCAACATAGGTTTTTTTTTTTTGAGATGGAATCTTGCTCTGTAGCCCAGGCTGGAGTGCAGTGGCATGATCTCGGCTCACTGCAACCTCCACATCCCAGGTTCCAGTTCAAGCAGTTCTCCTACCTCAGCCTCCCAAGTAGCTGGGATTACAGGCATAAGCCACCATGCCCAGCTAATTTTTGTATGTTTTAGTGGAGTTGGGGTTTCACCACGTTGGCCAGTCGGGTCTTGAACTCCTGATTGTGATCCGCCCACCTCGGCCTCCCAAAGTGCTGGGATTACAGTGTGAGCCACTGCGCCTGGCCCAACATAGGTTATTTTTAACATGAATTTTTACTTTTTTAAATTGTTAGTGGCTGTGCTTTGTTGCATGAACAAGAATCAGAGGTTGACTTTGGTAACTGATCACTTTGAGTGTACGGAGTGGTCTGGGGCTGAGTGATCCTAAAAGCTTTCTGGCGAGAGGAAAAGCAGTTTGTAGTCTTGCACATTTGACATGCTAATGGTATAATTTTTAAATGATCTTTTAAATTTTCTAATTCATTTGAAAATTCATTTGATAAACAATTTTAAAAGAATGTACACTAAAGAAAATGGATCATATAGTGAAAGTAAGTGATATGATGGTGTTTTAAGGAGACTTCATGGTTTTATGTGTCTTCAGCATATTCTCAGCAGCCATGATGTTGCTTCTGCTTAGATTTATGGCTTAGGGCATGCTAGACACATGAAGACCAAGTGCAGAGAAGAGCCTGGGCATAGGCATTTTCGCAGCCAAGGATCTTTTCTTTTTGATAGGACTTGCCTATTCTTTGAACTTCTTGCTCATTTTAGAATACTTGTGGAGTGAATTGGAAGGAATTGGTTTGTCATTACATGATAATTACAGAATATTAAATGCAGTAAGCCTATATAGTATTGTGAACTAATATTCCATAAAAATGGAGTATACAGTTAATCACTGAAGAAAATAGTAAATGAAAATGATTTTAGTTATTTTATATCCAATATTTACCATTTACAACTACCATTTATTAATCATGTCATTTTAAAATTCTTGTCCTTTGTTTTGCTTTTAGTTCTAGAAAAGATACCAGTGTTAAGATCAAAATACCTCCTGTAGCTGAGGCTGGGTGGAATTTGTATATTGTGAATACGATCTCACCAGTGCAACTATACAAAGAGATGGTACTCTTCAAACTTATGATTCTTATTTATAGATATTTAGAGAGAAATTATGATCAGAAAATGATTACAATTATCATACATTCAGGATGCCACAGCCATTCAGCTTCCTGGCTTTGTGTGACAGTGGACTGTGTATCTTTTTCTGCCTCTTCATTTTTACAGCTTCCAACATCCAAGGAACCAGTAAGACTCCCTTATTGATACTCACTCTCCTAAGAGGATCGATTGGCCAATCTAAACATAGTCTTTGACCTTACTTTTGAATCCTAGCAAAGACAGCTAAGAAATGGAACCAAAAAAAAAATTCTAGGATCATTTATCCCTGTCCCACACTTCTTACTTAGAAATACTAGCAGATTGTCCCAGGGCACTACAGCTGCTTCAGCATTGTCCTGTGGGGAGGGACCCAGAGTGAGCATCCTCATTCCTGATCTAAGCAGTGATAGCTTCCTACTCATCCCGGGCAATTATTTTAACCCTTTATTTTGAAACAATTTCAAACTTACAGAAAAGTTACAAGAATAAGGATTTTCTTCCCAGCAATTTAGGAGGCTGAGGCAGGTGGATTGCTTAAGGCCAGGAGTTTGATACTAGCCTTGGTAACATAGTGAGATCCCATCTGTACAAAAAATTAAAAAATTAGTCAGTTGTGGTGGCACATACCTGTGGTCCTCACTACTTGGGAAGCTAAGGTGGGAAGATCACTTGGGCCCAGGAGTTTAAGGCTATAGTGAGCTATGATTGTACCACGGGACTCCAGCTTGGGTGACACAGCAAGATCCTTATTCTTTTGACTCTTTTTTAAAAAAGAAGAATATTCTGTATATTTCCTTTCCCCACACAGATTTCCCCACAATCAACATTTTACCCTATTTGTTTCTGTTCCTCTTTTACGCACTCTGTGCTTTCTGTACACATATATACACTGTTTTCTGATTCTTTGGGAGGTAAACTGCATACGTTACAGTCTTTTGCCCCTAAGTACTTCAGTATATGTTTTCTAAGAATCAGGATACTCTCTTGAACTACTACAGTACAGTAGTAGGCCTCAATTAGTTTAACATTGACACAGTGCTTTATCTGATTTATGATTCATAGTCTAATTCTGTCAACTGACCCACTGGTTTAATAGCATTTCCCCTCCTCTAGTTCAAAACCTAGTTTAGGATCAGGTAGTGTGTTTAACTAGAATGTCTTTTTAGCCTCCTTGAGTCTAGAATATTTCTTTTTTTTTTTTTTTTGAGACGGAGTTTCGCTCTTGTTACCCAGGCTGGAGTGCAATGGCGCAATCTCAGCTCACCGCAACCTCCGCCTCCTGGGTTCAGGCAATTCTCCTGCCTCAGCCTCCTGAGTAGCTGGGATTACAGGCACGCACCACCAAGCCCAACTAACTTTTTGTATTTTTAGTAGAGACGGGGTTTCACCATGTTGGCCAGGATGGTCTCGATCTGTTGACCTCGTGATCCACCCGCCTCGGCCTCCCAAAGTGCTGGGATTACAGGCTTGAGCCACCGCGCCCGGCCCGAGTCTAGAATATTTCTGTAGCCTTTCATTATATTTTATGACATGGGCATTCTTAAAAAATATAATTTTCTCCTCTCCTTTTGTTTTGAGAGTATTCCTTATTTAGGGTTTGATTTTTTTTTTTAACGGTTAGATTTGGGATTATGCATTTTCAGACAGAATATCGCATTGGTGGTATTTGTGTTAAGGGCATCACATCTGGAGGCACATGCTGTTCATCTGCCCCTCTTTGGTCATAGTAATTTTGATCATCAGGTCAAGGTGTTGCCTGATTTGTCCCTGCCAGTAATTTAATGCCAATTATTATATCAGCTGTGCCCTGTCTTTTCAGTGTTGCTTAACTGAAAATCTTCATTTAGATGATTTGACTACTGGAGTCTGAATATATTGATTGAGTCAGATTAGCTCGAGATAATTTTTACAAACCCTCTGTGAGTTGTGGAAATAGATGTAGTAGAACCGAAACTTACCAACTGAAACTAAAATAAGGGAAGAATATTCAGGCTAAATTTGAGAAAGAATTAAATCACAGCTTTTTAAACTATTTTAAATATTAATATGTTCACTAGTCTTATTGAGATCAAATTGTTGCTAAGTTAACAGTATTATTAGTATTACAATATTATTTGGACCTCTCTAATGACTAGAGCTGTTTAACAGGGTAGTATTTATAATCCTATATGTATTCAACTGGCTTATATATGGTGGAAAAAAAAGCCCTTCAGCTAAGCCCTTGTCAGAATGGTAAATAACCACTTTGTTTACTTTTAGGGTTGAATATGTCCAAATGTTAACTTTACTAACAAAATATATAAATGTTATTAAGAACTGAGGAACTTTGGGGAGTCTCTCTTCAGCAACATTAGTGTTTGTCTTTTTTGTTTTAGATAGACTATAGCAATACCTATAAAACTGCCAAAACCCAGAGCTGTATTCACCTTCTCAGTGAGGCTCATCTGTTAGTGCGAGCTGCCCTGATGGATGCCAGTCAACTGGAACCTGGAGAGAAAGCAGAGCTTTTGGAAGCATTTAAGGAAAGCTGTGGACACCTTGGGGACTGTTACAGCAGGTGGGTGACACCTCTTGCAACCTTGTTACAGAAGCCATCTTGAACTTTGGGTGTACTTGTTTGCTTTTCCATCTCTGATAAATGGAGGAATGCATGAGGTGAGGTAGTTCATGTATTCACTTCTTCCACAAGCATTTATTGAGCACATATGCTGTTAGGTACTGTGCTAGCCTTCCATACAAAAATGAATGTGACCCATTTCCTGCTTCTAGGGAGTCACAGTTTAGAAGATGAGCAGTAAGTCTCAAGTTTGTGATTTTCCCACCACTTAACTTAGGACTTTGACATTTTTCTCAGGCTTTGAAAATCCCTGATATAGCTGTATGACTAGTCTATTGTCTGTTAGCTTAAGGGAGAGGTGCCAGTTAAGACAGTCTGTGATACTAATCTTAGTAGTCAGTGCTTTTATGATGTCAGAAAGGGACACTAGTATGAATAGTGTCTTTATTTTTGAGAGTAACATTTACAAATTTTTTTGCATATGATTGTTTTCAGACTTACTTGATTCACATGAATGATTAAAAATAATAAAACGGACTTTTCCTCCTATTAACACCATTATTTTAGAGTCTGATCATGAATATTAGAAATTGTTGTTTTCGTTTCTATCGTAAGCAGGCAAAAAGAAACTGCATGAATTAGAACTTTCTAAAATAAAACTTAGGAGTTTGTTTCAGTTACTAATGGCAGTAGAAAAGCATTTTGGAATTTATGTCTTCTGGAAAGCATGATATATTTTACTATAGAATGTGTTAGATATCCAGTTTTAAAAATTACAAATTTGACTATGCGTGATGGCTCTCACCTGGAATCCCAGCACTTTAGGAGGCTGAGGTACAATGGTCACCTGAGGTCAGGAGTTTGAGATCACTCTGGGCAACATAATAAGACCCTGTCTTTAAAAAAAAAAAAATGACAAATTTGAGATTTAAAAAATGTCCTTCCCTTTAGGCTTGACTCCCAGCATTCTCATCTCACCTTGCCATACTATAAGATGTCTGGTTTGTCTATGGCTGAAGTTCTGGGCCGCATGGACTGGACCGTAGAAGATGGATTACAGAAATATGAGAAGGGATTAATCTTTTATATTAATCATTCACTTTATGAAAACCTGGATGAAGAATTAAGTGAAGTGATTATGGTTTTCTATTTTATATCTAATATTTTTAACTTTTCATTTTAGCGATTTATTTTTGTAGTACTGTTTATAAATCAGATTCCAAATATTTTTCTTCTTTGATATTATTCTTTTTCTAAAAAAGAAATGCACCCTTTTCTACATTAACGAAGATGGTAGTATAGCTTGGAAAAGAACTTACGGGTAATCTTCTCATGCTTTCTCATTATACAGACAGGGACATATGGTCTGTTGTAGTCTGAACACCTGCCCAGTGACAGCAGCATGTCCTCAGAAGAGCTACACAGAATGTGGGCCTTGCCTTCCATCTTCTCATCTGTAGTCCTTCCTGAAACCCTAGTTGTCCCTTACTCCAAGTGTCCAAAACTTCACTTACAAAACTCTGTCCTTAGGCCAGTGACCTTAAGACATTATTAAGGATTGTTTTTAGGACTGGGCACAGTAGCTAATATCTGTAATTCCAACACTTTGGGAGGTCGAGGTGGGAGGATCACTTGAGGCCAGAAATTTGAAACCAGGCTAGGCAATATAGCAAGACCTTATCTCTACAGAAAATTAAAAAATTAGATGGGTTTAATGGCATGCACCTGTAGTTCCACTACTCAGGAGGCTAAGGCAGGAGGATTGTTTGAGCCCAGGAATTTGAGGCTGCAGGGAGCCACAATTACACCACTGCATTCCACCCTGGGAAATACAGACCAACCCTGTCTTAGAGAGAAAAGAAAAGATTATTTTTAACCCCTAATGTATTTTAAACATAGTTGGATGCAAATATGCCAAATTGGAAATTGTGGTGTCAAATGTTGTAAGGTTTTAAGAGAAATTAAGTTTTTTCATATAAATTACTTAATTAGGTATATTTTGAACTAAGTAGTTTCTGTGATGGATTTTTGTTGTAAATTATTTTCTTCTGAAGTGTTAAAATTAGAAATGCTGGTCATAACCTGGTACATATTTTCATTGCTTTTTCTTCATTATAATCAGCAAAGAGATTACTTCAGGCCTCTCATGTATCAGTATCAGTTTTGTCTTTTTAAAATTAAAACATAATCCTATAATTTTATCTTACTTGGAATGTTTGTATAATGGCTTTTTGCACATATATGTTTTGTTGATTTTGTTCCTTTCTTCTGGCTGACCTTTTATTCCTTTTATTTCTTCATGCTCACCAAAGGAATTAGCAGCAAAAGTGGTTCAGATGTTTTATGTGGCTGAGCCAAAGCAAGTGCCCCATATTCTCTGTAGTCCTTCTATGAAGAATATTAATCCTTTAACTGCCATGAGCTATCTAAGGAAGCTGGATACTTCTGGGTTTTCATCAGTCTTATTGACATTGACCAAGGCAGCAGTGGCTCTGAAAATGAGAGATCTTGACATGCACAGAAATGAAATGAAAAGCCATTCAGAGGTATGGTGCCCTACCCAATGTTAACAGAAGGCTGAAATAGGACCTGGTAATCCTGATGTGTTTAGCTGTCTTCTGGCTTCTTTCTAGCTCCTATGTTCTTAGTTGTAATGGAAAATAGACGGTATTAGAAATAAAGTGATCCAAGTGGGACTTTGGATTTGGCAAAATAAAAAGAAATAAGATTGATAAGTGGCAGCAGTGGATATCCAAGTACTTCAGCTTAGTGTCAGGTGTGTTCAGAGCACTGAGCTTTGTACAAGAACAGGCTCTGCTCCAAAGGGATGATGTGATCTGGCATGAGGGATATGATGTGTGTACTGAAAAAGAACCAAGTAATATACATTTAAGTTCAGAAAAGGGGATATTAGCCATGAGTTTTAGGAGTCTAGTAGTTGCAGGAATAACCCCCACTTGGGAAAATCACAGATGATTTTATGAAGCATTAGACATTTGAATGCTGTAAGACATTCAAAGACCCTTGGAAAAGAGGTCATTTAGCGACACTACCAAAGGTGTTCATCATTTAAGGGAAGAAAATAAGAGGTAGTGTAATTGAACACTTATTATTTACCAGGGCTATGCTAAGCTCCTTGCATATATTATTTAATTCTTAACAATTGTGCTACAAGGTAGAAACTTTTATACAGATGAGACACAGAGAGGTTAAGGAACTCATCAGGATCACACAGCTGGTGAGTGCTACAGCCAGAATTGAACCAGGCAGGCTGACTTCAAAACCTGTGCTCCTGCACTGTTTTGTTGCCAGGTTGTGCCAAAGCCCACAGTATGACGTGGGTTGTTAAAAAAGGAAGAACATAAGTGCTTTATTGTCGAACAAATTACATGGACAGGCTTCGTTATGATGAGAGCAAATCAACATTGGGATGTCTTCTGTTTTGAAGAGTAGAATTCTAGAAAAATGAATGTTCTCTTCATATTTTTGAAAATAAGTTATATTAATCATCGCTCAGAATCTATGGGAGATCGGTTTCAGAACTCTCTACAGATACCAAAATCGATAGAAGCTCAAGTTCCTTACATGAAGTGGCATAGTATTTGCATATTACGTATTTACCTTCTCCAATATACTTCAGATCATCTCTACATTACTTATAATACCTAATATAATGTTAACTGCTGTGAACATAGTTGTTAATACTGCATTGTTTAGGGAATAATAAAAAAAATCTGTACATGTTAAGAACAGAAGCAGTTTTTTTTTTTTTTTTTTTGAGACAGAGCCTCATTCTGTGGCCCAGCCTGGAGCACAGTGACATGATCTCGGCTCACCGCAACCTCTGCCTCCTGAATTCAAGTGGCTCTCCTGCCTCAGCCTCCCAAGTAGCTGTGATTACAGGCATGCACCACCATGTCTGGCTAATTTTTGTATTTTTCATAGAGACAGGGTTTCACCATATTGGCCAGGCTGGTCTTGAACTCCTGACCTCAAGTGACTCTCTGTCTGCCTCAGCCTCCCAAAATGTTGTGATTATAGGCATGAGCTACTGCGCCCAGCCATCCTGAATATTTTTGATCTGTGGTTGGTCGACTCCATGGATGTAGAACCCACGGTTGACTCTATTTCGAAATCAACTAGACCTAAATATAAAGCTCTCTACAAAAAATAAGACACCTTGAGTCTTAGTTAAATATTAGTAACTTTTTCCCTTTTTTTTGAGATGAAGTTTTGCTCTTGTTGCCCAGGGTGGAGTACAATGGTATGATCTTGGCTCCTCACAACCTCTGCCTCCTGGGTTCAAGCAATTCTCCTGCCTCAGCCTCCTGAGTAGCTGGGATTACAGGCATGTGCCACCACACCTGGCTAATTTTGTATTTTTAGTAGAGATGGAGTTTCTTCATGTTGGTCAGGCTGGTCTCGAGCTTCTGACCTCAGGTGATCCACCTGATTTGGCATCCCAAAGTGTTGGGATTACAGGCATGAGCCACTATACCTGACCAGTACCTTCTATAAGACAGTCAGTGGTGTCTTTGTATAAGAACTAGCCTTTAGTCAAAGGCTAAAGAAAAAATTGTGATTAAATTATTAATAGCTTAACCATGCATTATGAATCCACTAGCATGTTTAGTATTTCTAAGATGGACAGTCTAAATATAATGTACCTTTTTTTTTCTAAATTTCTTTTTTATCTGAAGATGAAGTTGGTATGTGGCTTCATTCTGGAACCTCGGCTGTTGATTCAACAGAAAAAGGGACAGATTGTTCCAACCGAGCTTGCACTTTACCTAAAGGAGACTCAGCCTGGATTGCTTGTGGCTTCAGTTCTGGGCTTGCAGAAAAACAACAAAATTGGAGTTGAAGAAGCAGATTCCTTTTTTAAGGTTTGCCACTTTGAAAATGTGATTTTTCTGGATTGCCTCATAAAATTGGTGGTGGAGAGGGACAGAATAAGAGAAGTGAGTTTTTCAGTTGTTTGTTTATTGAAAAAACAGAAATACATAATCAGTTCATAAAATAAAAGTACAGATTAAAAGACTATATCTGGAGAAACTTTATTTGTACAACCTAGAATCTGATTCCTTTCAAAATGTCTAAATTTGCTTTTGCCATGGCACTAATGCTAATGGTAAATTATTAATTACATGGCCCACGTGATGATATGATATTCAGCCCAGCTGTTGCTTTATCAATGCTATATTTTTCTGTAATATATAGGCTTCTTTTACTGTTTTCAAGGTGCTTTGTGCTAAGGATGAAGATACAATTCCTCAGCTCTTGGTAGACTTTTGGGAAGCTCAGATAGTGGCATGTCTCCCAGATGTGTTACTTCAGGAACTCTTTTTCAAGCTTACATCACAGTACATCTGGAGATTGTCTAAGAGGCAGCCTCCTGACACCAAACCATTAAGAACATCCGAGGATCTGGTAAGATAACGGAATAATACCTTAAATTTAACTCATGCATTGCCCATTACAAAAACGTACCTTCTTATTTTTAATAATTTATTATAAAATCTAATCTAGTTTTCTATTACCAGGTATCTTCATTTACACAGGAGTTAAAAATACACGTAAAATTTGTCTATGACTGAAGTGGCCTACATTTTAAATAATTTTGTACTCTAAAGAATGTCAGCCTGTAATCCCAGCACTTTGGGAGGTGAGGCAGGCGGATTACCTGAGGTCCGGAGTTTGAGACCAGTCTGGCCAACATGGTGAAACCTAAAAATACAAAAAATTAGCTGGGTATGGTGGCATGCGTCTGTAGTCCCAGCTGCTCAGGAGTTGAGACATGAGAATTGCTTGAACCCAGGAGGTGGAGATTTCAGTGAGCCAAAATTGTGCACTGCACTCCAGCCTGGGCGACAGAGTGAGACCCTGTCTCAAAAAAAAAAAAGAATGTCCCCTACTTATTAATGTCCCTCACTTACTTTTAGTGGTAGCTCAGTTGCTAAAGCATGGAGGAAGGAATTTCTTCCAGAACATCACCACATCTGTGTCCTTCCTCAGCAGAGGATAATTAAGTAGAACATAAGAGAGAAGACATCTGCAGACCTCCTTGGTAGGAGAGGAACTGCAGAAGGCTGTGGGAGGGAGACTTCCTTAGTGGGCCTCCATTTCCTGTCAGTTGCACATACAGCAGCTGTTCTGTGGCACGAGGCAGCTAGTAACAACTCTTTGTACCCTTCTTTCTACCCTTCTTGCTCCCACCCCATTTCTCTCCCAGCTTGTTAGCCATGACTAATAAGGATTAAGTGGAAAAGTTACCAGCTTTTTGAATGAGAGGGGCTTCTTGGGAATTGTCTTGAGAATTTTTGGAAGATATTTTGCCTTCTAAAGAAAGCAGTATTAATACAAATTATTTCCAATATTCTTTCTAGGTATAACCGGCTTACATGCAGTATTGCTCTTTTTGCTGGAAAGTATCTCTTTGGAGTATTTAAATTTTAGTATTTAGTGTAGAAGCAAGCAAGACTGAAATATTTTCTTGGGGAATATATTCTAAAAAAAACTTTCCTTTCCATTCCCAGGGAAGTGTGTACCTAATTCTATGACATGGCAGAGAATGAATGATTGCTTGTTCTTTGTGGAATGGATAAGCAAGCTTTTGTTGTTATATTTTGTTTATGAGAAATTCTTTGATGTTTTAGATAAATGCGTGTAGTCATTATGGCTTAATTTATCCATGGGTTCACGTCTTAATATCATCTGATTCACTAGCTGATAAAAATTACACAGAAGATCTTTCAAAACTTCAGGTAAGTAAAAATACCTATTTTTCTTGTGAAAATGCATATTACAATATAATGTAAGATTTAAATTTGGTGAGACCCCAGGTGTCCTATTAATCTGGATTGTAGAATTTTCGGGGACAAAATTTATAGTTAGGATTACTCAGGAGACTTGGAGGGAATTTCTGCCTCTTCCTGAAACTGATGATGGATGGGACACCTATGCTGAGCGGCGGTTTCGTTGCAGGTGGATGGATGAACTTCACCAAGTCTCCTGGCTGCTTTCCTCATTTTCAGGATGTACTTGAAAACGCTTTGTGAAGTGAAAGTGTGGCAGATGTTTAGTAGTGTTTTGAGTGCTGTAGTTTGTTTTTGTTAGTGTTGACTTACACATTTTAGGCCTGTAACCCAAGCCAGGCACTACTATGTCTCTTATAAGAAACAGGTCAAAGTCGTTCATTTATCTAGTTCCTGAAAAGGATTTTTCAAAAATGAATGGGATGATTAGAAAATGTGGATCACCCTTTAATAATTCTGACTGCAACAGTGCTTTGGCTGACAGTGAGAAATGAAGTCCACATTTGACTTGGTGGATCAGGCTGGGCTACATGAGCATATGATTTTATTTAACGTACTTCTGTGGCCCAAAGACCGAATGTAATTCCCACATCTGTTTTCTTTGGTCTTCCCAGTGTAGTTGCTAACATATAAAAATTAAGATTTCCTATTAAGAATTCTGAGTTTCAAGTCACTCTTGAAAAATTCAGCAGAACCGTTAACCCGAGGCCCTCATTGCTCTGACCTGAGGGTTGGGGCTGACCTGCAGCTCCGCCTTGTCCTCCCGCACAGTTATCATCTTTGTGGCATCCTGATCCAAATGCTGGGTGTCTGTTTTCCTTATCACAGCTGCCCTCATGCAGCTCATCATTTAATTGGCTTCTTTAGGCTTTTGAATTTGCAATGCCTCATTTACACTATGGGAACTGGTGAAAGTGTGGTTGTTAATTAATGTCAAATTGGGAAGGGGGTTTAGAGGATGGAAGCTAAAGAGGCCATATTGCTTAGACTCAGCCTTCAGATGGGGCTGTGGTGTTCCCAGAGATGGCATATTTTATGCGCTTCTTAAAAAAATAACCAAAGAAGATTCTTCTTGTCTCTTGTTTCTAGTACCTTTGTGATGCAAAGGCTTCTGAGGGCCTAGCCTCAGATTTTGTTCATTTCACAAATATTGCTTGAGCATGTTCTGTAGATGTTATGGGCAGCATTGGACAAAACAGGTGGAGCCTTCCTAGAACATATACACTAATTACATATGTAAAATTTTAATTGGAATAAGTGCTATTAAATTTTCCCTCATAAAGCTTTAAAGCATATTTCTATTTTCTTGAAAAAGTATAATTCAGTGATCTTTTAAAAGTTGTTTTGAAATATTTTAAAAGGGTACATTCTTTCTGAAATTTTCCTATTAAAGGAGAAACATAGTCTGCCTAAACTTTTATAATTTTTTTTTTAAGAGACAGAGTCTCACTCTATTGCCCAGACTGGAGTGCTGTGGCAATCATAGCTCACGGTAACCTTGAACTCCTGGGTTCAAGAAATTGTCCCACCTCAAAGTTCTGGGATTACAGGTGTGATCCACTGCACCTGGCCATATTTTTAAACTTCTTGATTACATGGATAAAACTAAGTAAGTTCATGGGTAATAGAAGTTATGACTTAGTTTAATTTTAGTCATGATTTGGTACACATCCCTTGCTCCTTCCTATTACCCCTGCCCCCTCCCCCATTATCTGGATTAGTGAAGAGTTAAATATAGAGACCATCTATATTCCATGTTGGGAGACCCTTTGAGTGAGAGATTATCACCTAATTTCATTTCTGCCATCTGATCGTCAGGAAATCATTCACATGAATAATTTATTAAACTTGCAGGAAGAAAAGGGACCAACCTTATTCTCCTGGTCATTCCTTGGTAGATATTTGGAATAAAATAATCACACTGACTGTGATTGGATAGATTACATTCCATATTCTCCTGTGAGTCTCAGCAGATGCTGTAGCAGAAAGGATACAGGGACAAGAAAATTAGGACATGACCATTTTATCTTTATCCTGGAGAAAGGGAAAGTGGAGATTATTTTGGTGGTAGAATCAAAAGTAGTATATATAGTTTAATTGCTTAAAGTAAATATTGGTAAAGTTGTAAATGCTGAGATAATACTGCTCCCTATCATTCATCTTGTGACAAAGTGGTATCGATACAAATGATTAGTTCTAAACAAGCAGTTCAGTTTTCTTGTGTTAAATTTTATTTTTGGATATATATGTAGCACATGCTTATTATAGAAAACTTGGAAAATACAGGGACGGGTGTAAAGAAAACAAAGAATATGCTTTGTTGTCCCATCCAGTATGCTGTTTCAAATTGCCATGCTTCTCCAACAGGGTTTTTGTATGTGCATTTACACATGTAGATTTTATAAAACTGGTCATGTTCAGAATATAATTTTGTACTGAATTTTTTGTACTTATTTTATCATAAGCATTTTTTCATTAACTGGCCTTTGAAAATAGTTCTGATGGCTGTGTAATGTTCCATTATGTGAGTGTGCCATAATGTATTTACTCATCCTTTATTAACATGTAGATTACTTCTAAATTTTCGGTATTGTGAATACTCTTGTGGTAAACATCATTGAACGTGAATCTTTCACCACAATGTTGTTTATTTCCTTAGGATAGAGTCCTAAAGAATTCCCATTAGTTTTAATTTGCAGTCCACACAAAGCAAATAATATCATGTTATTTAAAAATGTTTGCTTTCTATTAAATAGATCTTCAAAATAGAGGTAGTTTCAAGATGATATTATACTTTATTCTACTTAGATTTATTAAATAAGAAGCACATGCATGTGCTCTGATATTGCATCTTTCTATTTTATTTTTGGGAAGTGAAGTTTAGTCTTTCTTAAGAAATTGAATTCTGTATGTTGTGTTTTAGTTTTTGGAGTGCCTCATTTCATAACATTTCACTTTTCTGTTCATAGTCTCTTATATGTGGTCCTTCATTTGACATAGCTTCCATTATTCCATTCTTGGAGCCGCTTTCAGAAGACAGTATTGCTGGCCTCAGTGTCCATGTTCTGTGTCGTACACGCTTGAAAGAGTATGAACAGTGCATAGACATACTGTTAGAGAGATGCCCAGAGGCAGTTATTCCATATGCTAACCATGAACTGAAAGAAGAGAATCGGGTATGCTTTTCAGATTATGTTTTTAGGCTTGATCAGTAATAATCAGATTTGATAACCTCATTTCCTTTCCTGCAAAATGGTTATAATTTATGCTAGTCCAACTTCATAGGGAAGTGTGGGTCCAGTGAGCATATATATTTCCTATGTTGTGTGTTCTGAGTACTATTAAATGCTGTTAAAATATATGGAGATGGCATATTACCATCATTAAAGATCTCTTGTTTGGAGATGAAGTAGTTAATTACCTGAAGATTTGGGAAACAGTGTATGATGGGAAAATATTTTCTCTGCCATTTGGTTTTTAGTTTAGAAATTAGAAGAATTTTGGACCTTAGTTCTTTTTTTTCTTCATTCCTTCCCTCTTGCCACATAAGAGATGGTAATGGCATATGTCTGTTGCTTCTTGAAAATAGCCAGGTACATATGTACAATATATGTTTTCAAGTTACAAACCTGATTTTTATGTTATAGTTAAGGCAGAAGACTGGCTGCTGATATAACTTGTGTCATAACAAAATTAGTTGCCTTAACCAAAATGGTATATTTTTGCTCTGTGCTTTCCTGCACAATCTTCTTATTCTCATTTGAAATCTGAGAATAAAATACATCAAAATAAAATTTATTCTCTTTTTTCTAAGATAGACTCTGTGGTGGAAAAAACTGCTGCCTGAACTTTGTCAGAGAATAAAACGTGGTGGAGAGAAGTATCAACTCTATTTGTCATCATTAAAAGGTAAAATGATTTTTTTTTTTTTGCTTGATTATAAACTTAAGAGTCTCAGTTTTAAATTTGGTGAAGCTTTCTTTCTCTAGTATTTTCATGTGATTCTCAAGTGAGACAGAGGGCCTTTCAGAACCATCTCAGGAGCTTATTTTCAGTATTCACATACCCTCCCCTTGACATTTGATTGATAATCATTTATCTCCTAGTCACAGAACTGATGTTCTTTTAACTTAATCCTTTCAAACACTTAACAAATTATCACAATCATAGAAAATGACAGCATCAATGTTTTAAAAATGTGAGTAATCATTAAGGCAATTACATCTTTTATTAATGATCAGAGTACTTAATTTACTTCATGTAGGAAGTTAAGATCATTACTATTAAACATAATTATAAGCAAGTATTGACGAATAACAACCTTAAGGATTTAAAAGTTGAGTATCTAAATTGCACAATATTTTACAGCATAGTAGTTATTTGAATTTTCATAATCATAAATCTTGATAGATATGTAATCCATTTCTACACTGCTATGTGTTAATATAATTAGTTAATTGTTGTCCTGATGACAAAGGGTATGGGCATATCGATTGCAGAGCACATAAAATATTAGAAATTGACAGTGTTGAAATTGTGCTTTCCAGCCAAGACAGTTGATTTTTAAAATGTAAGGCATAACCAGTGGCCATTGGAGATTATTATTCTGAAGGTCCCCCTTTAATTAAAGCTATATGCTTGCGATTGGGAAGGGAAAGGGATGACTTTATTCTTTGTCCTCCCCATCTTCCTGATTGCTTCTGGTATTCAGAAGATGGAAGTGTCAGGTGTCTGATTGCTTTGCCACACTTATATACACTTTGCATAATTTATCATTGACTGTTTGTGTTGGTGGAGCACTTTCTAGTGCAGACATCCCACGTCTTTACACCTCAGCATCATCATTATTTTAATCAGAAGACTTTCTTCCTCTTTTTCTGATCCACATCCACACACACCCCAACTCACCCATAATCATTCCTCCAAATATTGCATTTTTCTCTATCTTCGAAATGTATTTGTGTGCATACATGTGTGTGTGTGTGTGTGTGACTAATGGGACTAAGTGCCATGTGTGATTTACCTTTATTAGACTATAATACCTCAAGAGCTGGCATAGTGTTTTATTCATTTTTCACGTTACACTTTCCTCACCAGCAATATCTCTCCTATAGGAAGCATTCTGTAACTGTTCATTGATTAGAAAGGAAGACGGCTAAAGAACTTTAGGTTCGTTTCACAGGAGGGCTTTTTCTTGATAGTTGTACACTGAGAAGAGCCCTGGATTGGGATCTGGAGAATTGGAACTGAGTTCCAGGTCTGCTACCTACTAAGTGACCTAGAGCAAGCCAGTTTTCTAATGTCGTGAGACTAATGAGAAGTTCAGGACTAAATTAAAAGTTAAATGTTAGGCAAAATTACAAGAAGATAAGGTTGGAGATGGAGTTCAAGGGCTTATATGTTTAGGAGCTTGGATTTCTTATTTCTAATGCAGCGTTTCTCAACCTTGGCACTGTTGACATTTTGGACCAGATAATTATTCGTGTGCATGGGAGTTTCCCCTATGCATTTTAGGGTATTAAACAGTATCCCTGGCCTCTACTCATTAGATGCCAATAATACTACCCCAGTTATAACAAACAAAATTGTCTCCAGATTTTGCCAGATGTCTACTTTGGGACAAAATTGTCCTGGTTGACAACTGCCACACTAATGCAGAACCATTAAAACAGGGGTGAGTGGATGGGTTGTTTGTTTAAGGAAATATTCACCATGCTTATTTTTGAAAATTCTAGTACTGTAGTAAATTATAAAAATAAAGTTTAAAAATCATTTAAAATCCCACCATCCAGAAATAACTATTTTCAACCTTTGACAAATATTTTTTAGACATGCTGGAGGATTTTAATTGTACAGATTTACATTTAGATAGATTGTTTATACGTTACTTGTAGACTTGGGTTGCTGGCGAGTGGAGTAAAGCAAGTAATTTTAACCTTCTCTTAGCCTCAATTTTTCCAACTCTAAATCAGGTGTAATACCCATTAGTTTACTCTGTTTGGGATGTGTCTTGAATTGAATAAATAAAAACCTCAAAGGATTCTAGAAGGAATTAAAGAGAAGTTATATATGAAAGCACTATATTAATTTTTAAAGTACTCTATGAATTTAGGATATTGACCTTGTTCTTGGAGTGATAACCTGTATTAGCCCCTCCTTATTTGGGAGAAGAGAAGAATTGGGAAGTGGTGAGATTTTGTTAACTCTATAACAACTCTACAGTAGCTCTCCAATAATTTTTTTGTTTTTAAGATACTACTTAAAGTCTCCACATTTAGGTAAGTACACTGGTTTGATAGGAAAACATCAATAATACATATTTTTCACATAGATTTTGCAAACTAGTTAGTAGTTATTTTTTATTAAGGTCTGATTTTATGTCAGTTGTGCACTATTATATTTTAGCTTTTGAACTAAAAGGAAGCTAAATTAAACTAGCTGGAACTAAAAGGAACTGTGGAAGCTAGCAGACAGTACCACTACATTATAAATGAGGAACCTAGGACTTCAGAGATTAGGTGACTTGCTTTTTTTTTTTTTTCTTTGAGGCAGAATCTCGCTGTCTCCAGGCTGGAGTACAGTGGTGCAATCTCGGCATACTGCAACTTCTGCCTCCTGGGTTCAAGCCATTCTCCTTCCTCAGCCTCCTGAGTAGCTGGGATTACAGGCGCACACCACCACATCCAGCTAATTATTGTATTTTTAGTAGAGACGGGGTTTCACCATATTGGCCAGGATTGTCTCTATCTCTTGACCTCGTGATCTGCCCGCCTCAGCCTCCCAAAGTGCTGGGATTACAGACATGAGCCACCACACCCAGCAAGGTGACTCTCTTAAAGTCACTGAGTAGGTGGAAAAGTCTGGGTCTCTTCCCAAGTGTGTCTGGATTCCAGAACTAGGAATATTTTCTATGAGCCGTTGCTGCTCCATTCATTAACTCTTTAGCAACAAAGGCCAGTCATTCTTTTTGTGTAAAGACAGATTTCGATTGCTGCATATTGGACAGATGACTTTGAGTGGATCTTACATTTCACTTACTCGGCAAATAGAGTAAGTGATGGGCGCAAATATCACACAGGGAATGGCACTGACATGTGGATAGAGGTGTAAGACCAAGTGGATGTTTATTGGGACACTGTTCATAGCTGTCACTCTTCTATCCCAGGAGAGGGCAGAATGTATCTGTTAAGAAGCACTAGAATCATAAAATTGCATGGTTATTGTTTTTTAAATGTATGTTAAATTCCTTAACATTAAAAATGTTCATTAGAACACCTTCAGACTTTAGGGTAAAAAGAAGTAAATGGTCATGAAAACAGATTTGTGCTTATTAACAACATGAAATATTATAAAAAGGAACTAATTTGGGAAAACATTGGTGTTACTTATCCTATCAAACAATCTTTGTAATTTAGTGTTACTATAGTCTTAGAGTTAAAAAAAAAAGTATGCAAATGATTGAACTTTTCTTTAGAGGATAGTAGAAGTTGATTGCAAAATAATACAGTCATTGAGTAATGAAATAATAAATCCAAATTTCATGTGGCTGATATAAAATAAACTTCAAAGGATTCTAGTAAGGAAAAATAAGTTAAAACCATAAAGAAGCCTATGGATTTAAGAGATTGACTTTTTTCTTTGTAGTTATAACATTTTGTTACCTGAACTGGCTTCTAATTGTTTGGTTAAGAAAAAAGAGATTGAACGTAAGACTGACTTTCAGTTCTAACTCAGATACTTTTTTCTACAAACAGAAACATTGTCAATTGTTGCTGTGGAACTAGAACTGAAGGATTTCATGAATGTTCTCCCAGAAGATGGTACTGCAGCATTTTTCTTGCCATACCTTCTCTATTGCAGTCGAAAGAAATCATTGACTTAAAGGTTTCATTTGAAAAACACCATAATGGCATTTGAGACTGAATTTCCAAAAATTGAAGGCCAAAGTACAAGTAGAGGCATTTTGATTACACACATATGTATATGTAATCATATATATATAATATATATATCACACATGTATGATGCAGATGCTTTCAGGCTGCTTACCTTACCATATAGTGGTAACTATTCATTTCTTAATTTATGACCTCAATCAGTTTAATTGTCTAGAATGTAAAAAGTCTTCAAGACATAAGAATTTCTCGGAGAAACCATATATTTTTTTAAGGTAGAAATTGACTTTTATTCCAAGGAACAACATCAGTTCACTGTTATTGGAGACACGACAATCTTTTTCGTCCCAAGAACACTTTAAGGAAACATTTTGCAAGTATGCTTGAAAGAATGTCACTAACTGGTCCAGAATTTTATCTTCTTGATTTTTCCAATTTTCTCTATGCTTTTGAGAAAGATGTTAATGTTTTGCCATGGTAAAAAATTTCAAACCTCATTTTTTTGTTACTTTTCTTGTTACCTTAAGAAAACTCATGCTCTGTTTCTCTTTGAATCAAATGAAGTGAATGTTTACAAAGCTGACTTTCTTCTTGTCTAGCTATTAACATGATTTGTCGAATGCATGCTTTTTTAGCCAAAGCTTTGTTTCCATTTTTTGTTGATGTGTACTCTTCCCTTGTTAGCTACAGTGTATGTGAAAATAAAGAAATATATCACTGTATTCACAACCATGTGTCTTCTTTTTTAACTTGTTTAAAAATTTTTTAGTTCAAGTTCAGTTCATTGATGTTATCCTTGGAATGCACTTAAGGCTGGGCAGAAATTCTACTCCTGTGACGTCTGCCACAGGTGTATTTTGAAGCTTTTCTTCTAATGGTGATGTTTATCCTTAACAGGATTTAAGCTGTAGAATTCTCTTTCATCTCTGCATTTCTCCAGTTCCAGATACCATCCTTTAGACCATCTCTTCAAGGGTTCACAAAACTGATTTGCATCATCCTGTTTTATTTTTATTTCCTTCTCTCGTACCTTGCATTCCCATTCCCTCTGATTAGGTGTGATGTCAACAGCATGTTAGAAGGATCGATGGGAAGGCAATGATTGAAAGCATTTCACTGAACCTTAATAGTGCTCCTTTGAGGACCACCCAGGAGAATATCTGGTCATAGATCTTTTTAAAAATGCAGTTTTATAAAACCCTAATAGTGGTGATATGAGAGACTGTCTGAATCAGTTTTATTACCTAGTATACAGGTGTCAGTCATGTATCATTATATAGTTTGTTGATCTTTCCATTTGCAAAAAGTTAAGAGTATTCCCCCACAAATGCACAAAGTTGTATGTTTTCAGTCTTTTTTTTAATGTTTATAGTCATTCCGAAGTAACATTCTTTTTTTATACTTTCATATACATTGTTATGAATCATTGGTTTTTCTCTTTTTTCCACTTATCACCAGTTTATTTCATCCAGCCATACTGGTCTCTATAGAAAAAGAAATTTTAAGACCGTTATGAAAAATAATATATATTATATGGTTTAAAAATTAGTAGATGGTTCTTTAAATGTATTCTACTTTTTTACTGTTACTTTATTCCTGATTCATTTTTATTTTTCTACTTTTTATATGTTTGAAAATTTCTCATTCTATTACTGCTTTATTTAAAGAAAGATTACTTTCCTTCCTACAAGATCTTTATTAATTGTAAAGAAAACACGAATAAATTTACAGTGGAGAAACTTGGTAGACACCACCTTAACCAAAGCCTGAAGTTAACATAACCAGTAATGGAACCAATCACTATCTTGTGCCTCCTGACATCGTGTACTAAGAAAAACACAACATCATGCCATGATAGTCTTCAAAAGTACAGAACCTAAATCTAATCATGAGGAAACATTAGACAAACTCAAATGGAAGGACATTCTACAAAGTGACTGCCCTGTATTAAGGACCTATTCAGAGTAAGGGAGACTTAAAAGACATGACAACAATGCAGCATGTGATCTGGGATTTTCTTTTTCTATAAAGAACATGATTAGGTTTATTAGTGAAATTTGAAAAAGATCTATTGTTTTTTAAATCATTGTTAATGTTCTGATTTTGATCATTGTATTGTCATGTACAAGAATATTCTTGTTTTTAGGAAAGATAGTTGTATGTATCTATACATGTCTGCGTGTGTACTTATGGAGGGTGAACATGAGAGGGAGAGAGGAAAAAGAATGAGAAAGCCAGTGTGGCTACACAAATCATTAACATTTGGGAAATCTGGGTGAAAGGTATATGGGAATCTGAAATCATGTCAAAAAATAGTTACAAAAGTTTCTCTTCATTGAATTAATACATTGTTATATATTCAGTAAGCAAACTATTGTATTGGATTTGGGTACTTAGCTGGAAATACAGAATACAGAATATGTAGTCCCTGCCTGTAAGAAATTTAAAGCTAAGCAGGCTTTTCTAAGACTCCTAATTAATGTAAACTTGCTCAAAGCTTTATTGGACTTATGTAAAGATAATTCAGACTGAGAAACATGGCTACTGATTTTATGGGCCAAAGAGAGTTCAAACTTATCTTTTTTTAATTCCTTACTGCTTCTTACAGTCTCATGCAATACCTTTTCTCTTTACAAAAGTTAGGTTTCTCTTTAATTTTTTTGTCCAGTGTCGATTTTCCCTTCATATTTGCTGTTTGTTCTGTATTTTTCCTATAGCTTTAAAAACTGTCTCACCTTTCTTAACCAAGCAGTAATCTCCCTCTTCTTTCATGGTTGTTACACAGGAGGAATCTCATCTGTGGCTGGCTGTGTGTGTACGGTTGCTCTGTAGTGTCATACTGCACATGCCAGGCATTTGCACACATGCATTCCCCAAATACCTCCACGTTCCCTTACTCGCCATTATTTTTCTAGCGGGACCATCCTTTTGTGTGGTTTCATGCAACTACATGTAACCACATGGTTTACTAGTGTTAAAGTTTTCTTTCTCATCATATTTGGCTTTTTTCACCTTGTTAAAGTTATTGGCATTAAATTTAGGGGCTTGTCTGTGAGCCTTTGATATTCTCGTGTTATCAGTGACTGCTCTAATAAAAAGGGCATTAATGGAAATAGTTTTCCATGATATAAGTTGTTTGTGTAAGACCCAGGAGCAGAAATTAAAACTTTTCATTTGCACTAAAGGTTAACCTTTCAGGGCTTCTTAATTTTGAAATATATTTACATATATATTTTGTTCATTTGTATGTTCCCTTTTCCCCCCATTTTAGAGAGGAAAGACATATATTGGTTTTCTTCACATAATTTCCTCCTGTTGGGTTTGCCATTTCCAATTACAACAATTCTCAACTCAAAAGACCCAGGAAAGACCAAAGCCTGCAGCCACAGTGCAGGAATCTTAGAATAATAATAATAAACTGTTTATTTTTCTTCAAGTGTATGTGTGTGTATCTACATATGGGGTAGGTTATTGCAGGGGTTGGGGAGCAGTACATTTAAATTTTGTTTCTTCCCTGGATCTTTCACAAACAATAATCAATAAGGTCTCTCCTTCTTCTTGGATGCACAGAAAGACACTGCCTATTTGAAACTATATTATTTGGGGTTGTCTTGGGCTTCTCTTACACAGAGACGCCACTTAGAAAAAAAATTCTTTTTGTTAAGAAAGAAATTAGATCCTAAATGTGTCTTATGTAAATAATGGTTTGTTTCTTGGTAAATAACTAACATGACTCCTCATATCAGCTTTAGGTATAATTACTCTGCATCAAATGGGTGTCAATTTGTATTAGCTTAGAAATGACAGGTGCTGTTAAAAGTACTGGCTATCAGGAAATTAGCAGTATCCCTCACCATTTAGCAGTAAAAAAAAAAAAATCATTTTTTGAGGTAGAGGAGAAATCAGGGCAGCAGATTCACAGATGCTTCATATTGATGCTTCATGTTGGGGGAAGTATTTAGGCAAAGTAGTTCCTTTGATTATATTTGTTATATATGGCTTCTAGAATTGCCACCTGGATATTCACCTTTACTTTGTAGAACGGTGTAAGTTGTTTCCATTCCAGCGTGAATGTGGTCGGTCACATGGCAGTGGAGTAACCAGATTCCAGGTGTTCTTGGAAACATTTCTAGGGTTTGGTATGTTCCAGGGAAAATGTCAAAGACATCAGAACTATAAATGCCCCTGTGCTTAATTAGAAAAATGACAAATAATGTATAATATTATATATGAGAGATCACTCATCATTTGGTATTGGTCAGCTCAGGCATATTGAAAGGATGGATAAATCTGTTTAAAATAATTGAGCTTGTTTCTGTGTTTAATACAAACGGTAAAATGTGGTTTTTGTATTCCTAGTAAGTCCTTGGTATCCACATCAAGTGGGTGTGAAAGAAAGATGAAGAGAATGAATTCATCAATCAGGACTACCCACACACCTCCTGTACCTCAACTCTGGTTTGCCTGTTTGTTGTAGCACTTAAGCTACACAAAAGGAACTCAGCCCTAGCCCTGTTTCAGCCCTAGCCTCTCTTTTGCCTGAATCTATCCTAGCTTTTCCTCGAAGCTTTAAGTCAAGGTAAAAAATAAAGGAAGTAGCCAGGCGCAGTGGCTCACGCCTGTAATCCCACCACTTCGGGAGGCCGAGGTGGGCGGATCACAAGGTCAGGAGTTTGAGACCAGCCTGGCCAATATGGTGAAATCCCATCTCCACTAAAAATAAAAAAATTAGCCGGGCATGGTGGCGTATGCCTGTAGTCCCAGCTACTTGGGAGGCTGAGGCAGGAGAATTACCTGAACCTAGGAGACGGAGGTTGCAGTGAGGCAAGATCACGCCACTGCACTCCATCCTGGGTGACAGAGTGAGACTCCGTCTCAAATAAATAAATAAATAAATGAAGGAAGCAGAAAAGGAGGCTGATGAAAAAGACAAAAACCAGAGGCACTTCAGGCAGTGCCTGAAGTAGGTGACAACAGTCTATTTCTACAAGGATAGAATTAAAAGTCCTCTAAGAATACAATATATCTGTGTAAAACAAGATGGAGATAACAAAACAGGCTTTCTGCAGTATGCTTTTTGATAACCTCTGCATTTTCTAAATTAGCCCAAAGCATAAGGAAAACGGATTTCCAGGAGGGCCGTTGGCTTCTGCTGAAATCAGCACTGAGAAAGAATAGAAGTAGGATTGAGATGTATGGACCAATTGCTTGTCACCTAACTGATCTTGCTCATCTTGGGCCATTTGAGATACAGAACTTAGAACACACAGGGCAAAGGTTATGATAAAGTCTTGCAGTCTCTACTCTCATCCATCATTATGTGAACACTCCTACCCTCTTTGTTAGCAATTCCATTCAGTTAGTTTCCTTACTCAGGAATGTGTGAGCAGAACTCCATGAAAATTCAGTTAAAAATGCAAATCCCAGGAAGAGCTCAAGGTGTAACAAAGGCTGGTGTGTCAGTTGTAACTGTTGTGCCCTATTTTAGTCATCTCTCAGTATCTATGGGGGATTGGTTTCAGGAATGCCCCCATACCGAAATCCATGGATGCAAAAGTCCCTTAAGTAAAATGGCATATTTCCATATAACTTACACATATCCTTCCATATACTTTAAATCATATCTAGATTCTTATAATACCTAATACAATGCCTACATATCTCTTCATTTGCATGGATTTAACGTAGTAGTGCTGCAAATCCACATTTTTCTTTTTGGAACTTTGTGG